TCTTAGGGTCATATAATACCGTTTGAATGACTATTAAATGATGCTATAAATGTTCAAGGTAGGCTTGAATTCACAAAATTGGTGCAAGTTGCGAATTGGTAAATTGACTGCTTTAAGGCAAATTGGATGGTTCCACCCACCTAATTGGACTCCTGGAAGGTATTAGGAACCATGGTAAACATCTCATCAATTTTTTATTTCAGGCGAAAAACGTCAAAAAATTCCAAAATTGAAGGTCCACGTTTTTTGTGGAATTTTTGACATTACGGGCCCGGTGGCGAAAAGTTTTGAGACCCTATGGGATACATCATTGGGTCATGTAATGCCGTTTGAAACCATATATGACCATGAATTGATGTCATAAATGTCCGTGGTAGGCTAGAGTTCACAAAATCGGTGCAAGTTGCGAATTGGTAAATTGATCGTTTTAAGGAAAATTGGATGGTTCCACCCACCCAATTGGACTCACGGAGGATATTAGGGACCATGTTAAACATCTCAGAAATTTTTATTTTCGGGCAAAAAAAAAGTCAAAAAATTCCAAAATTGAAGGCTTATTATCCACGCTTTTTGAGGAATTTTTGAGTTTAAGGGCCCGGTTGCGAAATGTGTTAAGACCCTAGGGGATAAATTTTAGGGTCATATAAAGCCGTTTGGAACCATATATGACCATTATATGATGTCTTTAATGTCCGTGGTAGGATTGAGTTCACAAAATTGGTGAAAGTTGCGAATTAGTAAATTGATCGTTTTAAGGCAAATTGGATGGTTCCACCCACTCAATTGGACTCCTGGAGGATAGTAGGGACCATTGTAAAAATCTCGGCAATTTTTATTTCTGGGCGGAAAAAGGTCAAAAAGTTCCAAAATTGAAGGCTATTATCCACGTTTTTTGAGGAATTTTTGAGGTTATTGGAGCCGGTGGCGAAAAATGTTGAGATCCTAGGGGATACATATAAGGGTCATATAACGTCGTTTGGAACCATATATGACCATTAAATGATGTCATAAATGTCCATGGTAGGCTTGAGTTCACAAAATCGGTTCAAGTTGCGAATTGGTAAATTGACTGTTTTAAAGAAAATTGGATGGTTCCACCCACCTAGTTGGACTCCAGGGGGGTATTAGGAACCATGGTAAACATCTCATTAATTTTTCATTTCAGGCGAAAAAAGTCGAAAAATTACAGAATTGAAGGCTATTATCCATGTTTTTTGTGGAATTTTTGACGTTACGGGCCCGGTGGAGAAAAGTTTTGAGACCCTACGGGATACATCATTGGGTCATATATTGCCGTTTTGAACCATATATGACCATTAATTGATGTCATAAATGTTCGTGGTAGGCTTGAGTTCACAAAATCGGTGCAAGTTGCAAATTGGTAAATTGATCGTTTTAAGGCAAATTGGATGGTTCCACCCACCCAATTGGACTCCTGGAGGGTATTAGGACCATGGTAAACATCTCGGCAATTTTTATTTCCGGACGAAAAAAAATCAAAAAAATTCCAAAATTGAAGGCTATTATCCACGCTTTTTGAGGAATTTTTTAGGTTAAGGGGCCTAGTGGCGAAAAGTGTTAAGACCTTAGGGGATACATCTTAGGGTCATATAATGACGTTTGGAACCATATATGACCATTATATGATGTCTTAAATGTCTGTGGTAGGCTTGAGTTCACAAAATTGGTGAGAGTTGCATGCGAATTGGTAAATTGATCGTTTTAAGGCAAATTGGATGGTTCCACCCACTCAGTTGGACTCCCGGAGGATATTAGGGACCATAGGAAAAATCTCGGCAATTTTTATTTTCGGGCGGAAAAAGGTCAAAAAGTTCCAAAATTGAAGGCTTATTATCCACTCTTTTTAAGGAATTTTTGATGTTATTGGGGCCGGTGGCGAAAAGTGTTGAGAGCCTAGGGGATACATCTGAGGGTCATATGATGTGGTTTGGAACCATATATGACCATTAAATGATGTCATAAATGTTCATGGTAGGCTTGAGTTCACAAAATCGGTGCAAGTTGGGAATTGGTGGATTGACTATTTTAAGGCAAATTGGATGGTTCCACCCACCTAATTGGACTCCCGGAGGGTATTAGGAACCATGGTAAACATCTCAACAATTTTATATTCCAGGCGAAAAAAGTCAAAAAATTCTAAAATTGAAGGCTATTATCCACGTTTTTTGTGGAATTTTTGACGTTACGGGCCCGGCGGCGAAAAGTTTTGAGACCCTATGGGATACATCATTGGGTCATGTAATGTCGTTTGGAACCATATATGATTATTAATTGGTGTCATAAATGTCTGTGGTAGGCTTGGGTTCACAAATTTAGTTGTGCTTAAGTTGGTGTCCTTTAGTTAATGCGTTTAAGTTATTATCTAGGTGTCCTTTAGTTGTTGTGTTTAAGTTATTTTGGTGTTATAACTTAATCATCTGTTTTTCAAAACAAAAGAAAAAACTTAAATCATCTGGTAATATTAATGGTTATTTGATGCAAATGACTGATGTTATTTTAAGTAATGTATATCATTTTCAATGTTTGAGAAAAGGATATGTTGATTTGCTCATTGAATATGGTTTTTTGAGTTAGTTGCATATTGTACTCCGAAGTCTAAACTTACCAACGTAGTAGTTGAATTGCTAGTTGGTGTTTTTTTGTGGAGGATGTGTATGCAAACTTTGCCCACCTATGTCAGTCTTAACAAGAGGATTGGTAGCATTGTTGCCTACTGCACACTTGGTCAGTTGAGGTAGCGGTGGCCAAGGTTATCGTGTTTGGGCTACAGCAGGCTCTACAGTGTTATGCTCGTTGCGTGAAGTTGGAAAGGGGAAATTCCATGTTTCTCATGGTTAGAAACGAACGAAATTTGTTTTTCATGGGGCATTTTTGTGAATAAATCAACAACTTTTTCATTATTGTGGACTCCACAATTGAATAAAGTTGTTGATTTATTTACGAAAATGTCATCTGAGAAATTTGTTTATCACCATGAAAAACTGGGACATACTCGTTGGAAAGTGAATGCCTCATGGTCATTAACAAGGAGCTAGCTAATGATGGTCTTTGCTAGGAACGTTAATTCGTGAGATTTTGTTCGCCGTGTAGTATGATACCGCGATTTCTAAAAGAAAGTGACTATAATGTACAAAATTATACTTTGAATGTAAGATGGAAATAGGAAATGCATCATATTAGTCATATAATTAACTATATTATTAACAAAAACGGGTATACGATAGGTGTCATTCGTAGAACGAGAATCCAAAATTTCTTAAATATCACCCCCAAATCACATAATAAGCTATCACATAATATCAATTTTGCAAAGGGTTGACTTTTTTTTTGTTACTTGATTTGGAGTGATATTTATAAAATTTAGGGTCACTAAGACACTAATAATAAGCTCATAGTATACAAGATTGTTGAAACCGTATTTACTGATAATACAAATTAAAATTAGATTAGCTGCTCTTTACTCATGATCTGTTGTTGAGTTCTTCTGGTGGCTCTAATGTAACAAAAAATCGACAAAACGAAAGCAGTAGCTAAGCAGCCAATAATGACACCACCACCAGCAACAGATTTATCCGTGTGATGGTGTGCATGGACATTCTCCAAATGTACCTCTTGGTGTGGACTAAGCTCCTCTCCATGACTATTCGTCGCCTCATCATTAGAAGAACTCGCGTTTTCATGATGATTCTTCACGCTATTGTGACTAATCTCTGGAGCTTGGCTAGGGCTAACAGAAGGAGCATTGCTATGGTGAGACTTATTAGCCCCATGGTGACCGAACTTACGTGGCTCGGGCACCATGAAGTCACTCGGACCGTTGTTGTTTAAGGTCTTAACCTCATTACTCTTAACAATTAAAAACGACGAACTAAGGAGTATTAGTACAATAATACTTCTAAGAAGAGCCATATTTTTAGATGATAGAAAATAATTAGATTGATAGCTAGGTTGGTTTATTTATAAGTATAGTGAAATTAAGGGCATTAATTATAAAGGATCCAATAATCACGTAGATTCCTTAGTAGGTTCCTATATGTTGGTTTGGTAAGCTGGAGATTTTAATTATAATGTTTTATGATAATAAAATTGTCTGCTAAAAGGGGATGAATCAAAGAAAATCCACGTGCAACTTGTAGGATATTACGCTCATAGCTGTACTTAAAATATGAAAAATGTTATACATCACCCTTAGGCTACATATAACCATTAAATTTACACTTGAAAATTATAAAAAAAAAAAAAAAAATTATCAAAATATACACACTAATAACACTGATTTACGCGTTGTCATAAATTTCTTAATTTTTACAATTTCCAAGAGTATATTTAATGCTTATATATATCCCTTAGGGTTACATATTACATTACCCTTAAAATATTTATATTTACAACAATTTGTAAGCTGAGAAAATAAACAAAATTTTGAGTTCAACTTAAAAATATTGTGATGAATTGAACGAACAATTCAAGAAGGTTCTGATTCCAATAATTTTTGCCGATTGTTTAGGATTGTGTAGCCCAACTTATGTATTGTATATTGGTAACGTAAACTATGGAGTACATTTCTTTGGAACTCATTAATAAATAAAACAGAAAAAAGAATGATATGAGAGGGTTATAATAATACACTCGGATATAGGGTGGAACTAATATTAATAGTAGGGCATATAATATAATAATACTTCCGAGCGACAAGGTAGTTCAAAATTTAACAGAGTACCGTGATTAGTTACATTAATGTCATATTTGATTTGTTGCTCTGCTAATAATATTGTTAATTCATAATTATACATTTGATTGGCCACTGCAAATCTTGTCATAGTAAACAAGTCTAAATGGACAGAACCAATTTCACTTAGAGCAACAATTAGATATTATTATATGTTCATATTAACCAATACGGCAATAAGCGGTGAGTCCAAAAATTTAGGAATGAGCTAGGATGAATTAAATTTTGCCTAAACAAAACGTTTAAACAATATTTACTAACATACGGAGTAATGATTTTCGACTCACATAAGAGATCACCACATACAAGACTTTAACATGTACATCAAATGATTGGGCATACTCAAGTTTGCGCCCACTTATCTGGCCAAATCTAAGAGATAATATGACTACAACTGCAACATTACAACATGCAAGAAAGTTTATAGTTGAGGCAATCAAAGTAGGTCTGCTTATCAAAAATCAGAAAGATTTCCTCACCCTCTGCCCTAATTGATTTAGATTAGCTGGCCATGTTTCCTAAAATAGAAGGTACACCACCAGCTTCATTAATCTCTACTCTCTCCCCATTCTAGTACGTATCCTCATTCCTCAACGGATCGTCGTTGTAGTTCTTATAGGCTGAAAAAAGTAAACATAGCATGGCTCGTACATCATCTAGTTTTAAATAAAAGACTGTAAATATGCTATACCGGTTATACCCCTTGCACATCATCTAGGAAGGCGTGGGTTCGGATTCCAAAGTTGGTAATTTAACTTTATCACCCACTTAAAAATTTAATAATATTCCCTTTCACATGCTTACTGACTTAATCACTCACTTAATCACCTACTTAAAATAATTAACCCTTCATTATTATCATCACCATTAACAATCAAAACACACAACTTTGAAATCATCAATGGCGGCATCATCTCTCCGTCTCCCCTTTCTTCCTTCGATCTCTGCTCACCTTCCTCAACACTCCAACAACACACCACCACCTTCCAACCTCCACATCTCCGGCACACGCAAGCTACGCGCCGCCGTCATTGGTGGCGGACCCGCCGGAGCTTGCGCCGCCGAAGCGATGTCCACCGGCGGCGTTGAAACGTTTTTGTTCGAGCGAAACGTTTCGGGTTCGAAACCTTGCGGCGGTGCTATTCCGCTTTGTATGCTGGACGAGTTTTCGATCCCACGCGACATTGTTGACCGTGAAGTCACGCGCATGAGAATCTTCTCTCCTTCGAACCTTTGCGTTGACTTTGGTAAGACTCTTTTGCCGAGTGAGTTTATTGCTATGACTCGGCGTGAGGTGCTTGACTCGTTTTTGCGGGCCAAGGCCCAGGCTAGTGGGGCCCGTTTGATTACTGGGCTTGTTACTAGGTTGGACCTTCCGGCCCATTTGGATAGTGGGCCGTATGTGATCCATTACAATGTGGGCGGGTCGAAGAAGTCTGTTGCCGTTGATGTTGTCATTGGTGCAGATGGGGTCCACAGCCAGGTGGCGAAGTCGATCGGGGCGGGAAATTACGAGTATGCCCTTGCTTTTCAGGAGAGGATCAAGCTGCCGGAGGAGGAGATGGAGTATTATAGAGATCTTGCTGAGATGTACGTGGGTGATGACGTGTCGCCTGATTTTTACGGGTGGGTGTTCCCGAAATGTGACCACGTGGCGGTGGGGACCGGCACGGTTAAGTCCAAGTCGGATATTAAGAAGTTCCAACATGGGATTCGGGCTCGGGCTGGGCCCAAGATTCGCGGAGGTCGGGTCTTTAAGGTGGAGGCCCACCCAATACCGGAACATCCGAGGCCCGTGCGGGTGCGAGGCCGAGTTGCTCTTGTTGGGGATGCGGCGGGTTACGTGACCAAGTGTTCGGGCGAGGGGATATACTTTGCCGCAAAGTCGGGTCGAATGTGTGGGCAGGCCGTGGTGGAGGCGTCGGAGGGAGGTACTTACATGATTAATGAACGAGATTTGAAGAGGGAGTATTTAAGGAAGTGGGATGGAGAGTATAGGAGTACATTTAGGTTTTTGAATGTGTTACAAAAGGTATTTTATGGGAATGATACAAGTAGAGAAGCATTGGTGGAATTGTGTGGGGATGAGTATGTTCAAAGGATGACATTTGATAGTTACTTGTATAAGAAATTAGCAAAGGGAAATCCTTGGGAAGATACTAAGATGGCAATGAATACTATTGGTAGTTTAGTTAGGTGTAATCACCTAGGGAAAAAAGGAATGGAACTTTTGTCAAATGTTTGATCCTTTGTTTTGTTTTGTTGCAATGGACATCCTTTTAGTAAATCGAACGCATGATTTTGTCATAAATTTGCCTAACTTGTACTACTTTGGCAATGATTTTTAAATGCTTACAACAGACCATAGCACCAGAACAATGTGTTGCAATGTTTGACTATCAAAAAGAAAAAGGTACTAACATTTATGTTAAAATAGGGCAGAGAGATGTGAACCCAAAAAGATAGCAGTAGTATCTTAATGCTTTGATTTCCTTGGCTAACTGTACAAAGAACTGAAATGGTACATCAATTACAAGAATAGAAACAAATGGTATCTATCTAGGTACACGTGTAACAATATAGCGGCCTTTTTCAAGGTCATATATTGTCTTAAACTGTGGTTTTCGCAATTTCATTACAAAGAATGTGGCCAGAAGAACAAAAACTATAAGAACCGCAAACAAGAAGTAGGTGACAGACTCATTCTCAACAATATGCGTATCATAATGTTCTGTGATACTGTCAAACGATTCCATGATTGTCTGGGAAATAAAGGCTCCAAGTCTCCAATCAACAGGAGTGCTTCCTGCTGCAAACTCGATTCTGTATAACCAGCATGTGTAAATAAATCAGCTTGAAAATACATAGGCATCAGTACATCCCTTCTATACCACAGTTAATGAAAGAGGATTGTTTTGGGGGTCATTGCAAGAAAAAGAAACAAAGGTGCAACAGAGCTATGAATAAGCACATAATATTTTTCCAGAAAAAACATCAGATTAGAATCTAGTGATAATCATGCTTTATTTCAGAATATTTATATATTAAAAGTATTGCAACATTTAGAGAACATCCCATAGTCCAAAGGGCTAAGCTTAACATTTTCCTTATAGGAATTAGCTTAATACAAGTAATAAATACTCCAAAAAAGGTAATAGAAGTCAATATGAATTTCATTACACTAATTAAAATTGACCAGCAGGCAATGAATTTCATTACACTAACATTTTCCTTATTTTTTTCTTTTCACCTATAGGTAAATTTTTAGGATGTATATAAGTTCAAATAGGTTCTGACAGTTTCAACAAGTTCGAAATTGTTCAAATACTGGATTTTCAGGTGAAAAGTATGAAGCCTGACGAGCACAAATTCTAATTTCTATGAGAAGACCCAGATATGGAAGCATACCTCTTCTCATCAAATGGAATGCCAAAACTGTTGCGTAACAAGATCACCATGAATGTATATGAGAAACAACTTCTTGACAGTTCTACACCATCAATATCAAATTTTCTTTTAAGATTGTCCCAGTCATCCTCGCAATAATTTTGTGCAACAGACTCCAGTTCTGATATAGAAGCCTTTAGAACTAAGCCTCGAAACTGCCAGCAACAAAATAGAAAAATAAAGCACTGTTCTACTGCAACAAAATATACCTGTCATTTCATTTTATTCCACCATGTACCCCCCTCATTAGGCATTAGCAATATAAGAATCTTATATCATGATCTCTTTTTTTCTTTTTTCTTAAAAATTAAATATTACAATGTACAAATTGTTCTGATTACTGATTTTTTAACTCCCTAGTAAAGAGCTTATTAGCCCAAACACAATGTAACAACACAGTGTGGTTAATGAGAAGCATATTACTTCTGAGATTATCAAATTCCTAATTTCTTAGAAGCCTGATTTCAGATTATCATCATTTGTTCCTTACCACGTGATACAGGGAGTTAGAAGATAATTTTCTCACCATAAATTTTTTCATCTATGTTCCCTCAGATATTCCTAGTGATTTGTCAAACACAAACCTGGGAAGAAAGATAGAACCTTTGCTGCGGGTGAGGTTTATTTTCCAACTCACTAAAAATGGTAGGCATCATCTCGCATGGTGCATGAGTGCATTTTCCTACAGAAAAAACAAACATTTCTCCTGGGCATTAGTCAAGACATTAGAAAGTTGCTACGCCAAACACATGAAATTAATATCTACTTCAGAGGACCCTGTAACAAAGTTTTCAATCAGTTACAAATTACAAATACAGTAGTATAAACCAGGCTTTGTCAATAGCATGGCCAAAGTTGTATGCTGTAATTTGGCAACAAAAAGCACATTTGAGGTGTACTTCTTGGCTTCTTTAATTGGATGAGTATTCTGGCTATCAAAGGGTCATCACTCTCAATAGTCATGCACCTTGGTAACTTTAAATGTTGAATGGAACTCTTATTTATGAGTTAAGACTTTGTGCATGGGGATTTATTTAGTTATTTTTATTTTTTGTAACATACTAACATGTTTATAGTAAAACTTGCAAAACAGCTGAATTTCAATGTTTGGGCCAACATAATAATCAAGTCAAGGGGATTAAGAAAATTAGCAGGCAGTTCAGCTGAGATAAGGAACTAGTAAAAGCCAAGGGGAGCAACTACATCTATTCAGAGGCAGAGCCTACAAAATCATACAGCCCATATAAAGAGTCAAAACATCACTACAGGAAACTTCAAGGACATAGAACCATTTTCAGCTCCAATATGTTCTAATCATAGCAAAATAATTAAGCAATTTGGGAAAATCACAAGACTAAGGATGTATTGCACAATAGAACAAGTACCTTTCCTATCATTCAGCAACATGGTAAGTTCAGATTTACAAGCAGAAAAGTTCCCTGTGGCATGGGATTTCAAAAGATTCTCATCACTCGCCTGTGATGTCAATTCAAATCCTCTGGGATAACAAGGATTAGGCATGGATCTTTCACTATTAAGTGAAGCTGCAAAATAAATTAATTGATAGTTATACACCAAGTTCAAAAAACGCACAATATTTATTTATCTCGCTTCAACACCCTAAATTGTAGATTTGATAATAATACATTAAAAATAAAAAAATTGATGATGCTTATCATGAAGTTAAGCAGATTTTGATCTATTTATTACTAGCAGGCCATCACAAGCCGATTGATGACAGCCTCTCCACTATAATGATAAGTAATTAGTTTATATTGTCAGTGAAATTTCACAAATGGATTACAAATACTAATAATGATATATTTGACATGAAGTATTACAGACTCTCACCACTGTTAGCATGCATGTCTTGGATAAGACCTAACTTTCTAGCAACAATAAACATTATATTTGTACAGATTAGGTGGAAATTGTATGATCTTAAGGGGCTTCTCAACTTTGTAAGGGCAGTCAACTTATGGGATAAGTATGGGGGCTAAATGACCATTATTAGATGAATCCATGCAAGTTTTCCATATCAAGTCAACATTTTCCACCTGATCATGGAAAGGTTTGAAGGACTTAATTTACAATTTTGCAAAAAATTCCCTGGAGTCGGCCAATGTAAAAAAGGTTTAGAGTTCCCTGCGCCTTAAGAGAGCCTCATCAAAGCGCATGTAATTATAAATTTTGTGAAAAAACTATTGTTTCCCTTAAGGAGGAGCCTTAGGCGTGCCTCTGTGCACCTCAGTTGCACTTCATCACAATCGCTTCGTCTGGACTACAAAAAGAGCATAACCCCTAATGCCATGTGCCTAGGTGTGCCTATTCAAACAGAGTATTTCTTTGAGGATTGAACAAAAAGAGCATAACCCCTAATGCCATGTGCCTAGGTGTGCCTATCTCAAGATTGTAAGGGATGCATCCCTGGATCATTTACTTTTTGTTTTGAACCATATATGGCCCAATATAGCCACTAGCCAGTCACATAAGGCCCATGGCGGCCTTAAGATAATGATGGGAGGTGTGTACACTGTACATAAACAGCTAAATTGGAAGTTCAAAGACAATGTGCATAGATTAATTCACCTATATGGCCGCACCCCGACCTCTTTCCTTTCAAATCTGAAATAGTTGAAAATTGTCCGAAAATAAAGGCTTTAATACACAAAATCGGAACATTTAAGGAAATTTCGGGACTGGTGTTGAAAAATCTAGGATTGTAAGGATTGCATCTGGGGATCATATAACGTTGTTAGAAACCATATATGACCACTATTAGGTCACATAAAGGCAAGTGGCTGGCTTAAGTTAATTAAGTGAGATGTGTACATAAATGGCTAAATTGACGGTTTAAAGACTAAGTGGACAATTTCAATCACCCAAATGGCCTCTCATGGTGTCGTGGGGTCTATAGGAAGAACCACAACCACTTTCCTTCCCAAGTCCGAAAAAGTCGAATTTGTCAAAAAATGAAGGGCTAGTGTCAAAAATTCTCGGGATGATGGGCAATGCATTCTAGGGTCATGTAATGTTATTTAAAATCATATATAACCACTAGTCAGTCAAATAAAGGCCTATAGCAGCTTTGAGTTAATGAAGGGCGGTGTATGGGTAAATGGCTAAATTGACAGTTTAAAGGCAAAGTGTGCATTCTAACCACCCAAATGGCTTCCTGAGGTGTCATGGGGTTCGTGGGAATCACCTCGGCCTCTTTCCTTTTCGGGGCTGAAAAAATAAAAAAAAAATGTCCAAATTGAAGGCTATAATCCACACTTCCAGGCCAATTTCCGATAAAAATTTTAAAATTAAAATGAACGTTTGGGGTGTCCACTGGGTTCATATAAGTTGTTTTGGAACTATAAGAGGCCTATCAAGAGGACTATAAAGTTCAATAAATGAGTTTGGCCTAAAAAAGAATAGTTCAATAATGAGTTTGGTTAAGCTATGTGGCTTTAGAAATTATGTTGCATTGAGATGGTTGTTTATATCAACAACTTGGCATCCCAAGGTCCTTATAAAGGTGTCAAGAATCCTTCATCTTTGGGTTCAAATTCATTTTTTGTAACTAGAAAACCTTTGTAACCTTAGACCCTAGAAAACCTAATCCAAGACCTGAAGTCTTTTGAGATAACATGTGCCATTTGGGCAAACCTTGAGACTAAGATAAATATGTGACATGAATTTCTGGAACATACAGGTTGCTTGCTTTCTAGAACTGGCAATTTCATATATTTAAATAGTTTCCAAAAAGATATTGACCAAAAAATTGTAGCATACAATCGTCTATGATACCAATGCATCTTCCATTGTAAGCCATAAGCCCACTCCCCCTACCATTCCTACCAATATAAAAAAAAATCTTACTTTTTATTAATCACTAGTTTAGTCATCTATAAGTGAGTAAGTAATGAACAGAAAATCAAGAATTAGTTGCCTATACCCCATTTCCCCCTAAATAAAGTTACTTGTTCATAGATTTAGTTGTATCATAAATAACTCGAAGGGTTTAATATAGGTTCATTACCCTAAACTATATCAAAAACATGTTATTACAAAATTATGTAGTACTCTATTAGTAAGTCTTTCCTCCTTGAAAAAATAATTAGTTCTATACATTTCATAAAAATTCTAATTGGAACCTCCTCAAGGCCTGGACAGTTAAAATATTGATATGACAACCTTCATGAGGTTTGACCAAACAAACCCTTGACTAGAGACTTTTTCCAGGCTCCCACTGATAGGTTTTCAGGACCAATTTAAATAAAGAAGGTAGTCCCATCAGGCTGACCTTGATTGAAAAGACATTGATTTACTTCACAAGCAAAGCAGAGGGAGCAATTAAATGCATTGATTGATTGAGTCCATACTAATTCAAGCTGAGAAATTACCCAGTAGAATCAAACATGTTCTGATTTTATTTTCATACTGTTCATGGAGGAGACACATTAAAAAGCATTAAGGCAAAACAGTATCAATCTGAAACTTACATGACACCAAGTTAGGAACACTCCGCTCATGAAACTTTTTCCAAACTGCATCCTGCATCCAGTAATCCACAAATTTGTATGTTAATAGAAGAGAAGTCATATTCTTACTGCACATACTCCACATAATGTGGAAATTATCCATCCCCTATCCCAGGTAGAGTTAAGCTATAAGTCTAAATCCAAAGTAATGGCCAAATAAATGAGAATAGAAAAAAAAATTAGAACACGGGTATAGAACTTATATCAATGTCTTAGGTTACTTTATATTTCGGCTTATACTACAGTTTTGGTAAAATATATAAGACATAACCATCCAGATAGATCTCTAAAATTAACCTTCCTTGAAACCATTTATAAACAATTAAAGTTCCACAGACTTCAAGAATTTCATCCTATTACATAATGAAATAATATCCATGAAAGGCACCTGACCAAACTGCTGCAGACTTTGAGTATAAAGATTGTAAGGAACTCCTGCGAACCTGATAACTCTTGAGGATTCTGATAGTGGAGTCTCAGGGCTAGCAAAAGAGACCTGCAAACAAATTTAACTAATTCAATAACAATGCAGAATGACGTAAGCTAATTCAGAAGATATCACAGCCTACCACTTTTGTTACCAGTTCATAGTAATCCAATACATGCGCAGACAGTTTTATGATGTTCCACTGCTTCGAATAAAGAAACCCTAAAGCAGCACTACTAAGATGAGCCCATAGCCAGGTCTTGTTGCTGGTACAATAAGTATCTTTAACTCGGTGTTTTAACAAAGCTATGTATCTATGTTTCCATCTCACATCAAAAGACTAAGAGATAACAGTCACTTGAAAGAAGAGACGTTGCTGAAAATTATTCACAAGTGCTTTTTTCCAAAAAAAAAAAATAATAATAAAAACATAAAAAAAAATAATAACTTTAAGTTAAAAGAAAAACAGATTATCAGAACTCTTTTAGATACATCACTTATTAAGGAAAACTTAGCCGTTATTAGTAATGAAATAGGAGGAGAACATGCACAACATTACAAGTTAAGCAGCAAGAGATTGGTTCATTACATGGACTAAAGATCAAGTGCCAAGACCTAATTATGCAGCAGAAATAGAATTATGCACTTGTTACTTTGCACAAGCACTCAGATAGAGGCAGGTCAAAAGACAGGAAGAAAAAGAGAGGGTATGAGAAGTGAAAACAAAAAGAAAACCTGCATAGCAGAACTTCCAAACGAAACTACTCCAGCTGTTTCTTCAGGTTTATTGCCTAGGTAGCCGAGGGCATAATTTACAGCCAGCCAAGAATAAAGACCCTCGTCTTGACCTGCACCCAGATTGTGTCACACGGACTTAGAAACCATTGAATAACTGTCATTTCTAATACAACTGAATAAGTAATGGTTAGATTTGAAACCTTTTATCGTTTCAGAGCAAGAATGATTGGAGTACAACTCAGAGATCAGCATAAAGGGTGCCTAGATGTGATGGACCTTGAGGTATTTTTAAAAAATTTGAGCTAAAAACGTTAACAGACTTCCTAATTGTGAATAATAAACTGTTAATGTATCATGCACGTGAAGAAAGATCACAGCATGAGCCTATTACAGAAACAAGTAAACTGCCAGATCTCTTCTACGGTAGACTTAGCTATAAAAGAAAAAATTTAAATAAAAGATGAAGTGTAAGATCATACCAACAGCATGACCACAAAAGTATTCAAGTTCCAATAATTTGCAATCAATTACACGTCAATAAGAATCCGAAAAGCCATAAAATCTACATTATCAACTCACAAACAACTAACTGAAGCAACAGATATCATGGAATAGCATGCCATTCTCTCAAATAGAAAATAAACTCAAGATGCATCTATGCAAGATTGTAAGCTTATATACCCTACATTTTTACATTCCCTAGGTTTGATAGTTGATAGTTACAAGATCACAATTTCTGCATCTCCCACTAAAAAACTACGGATTATTACCGAGCACATCAACTCAACCAAAATCATCAGTGTGCCTCTAAAACATTATGGAATTGCATACTTCTCACTAGTCTCTTGCTCTATTCACTTTAAATCAATAAGTTAATTTTCATTAAAGACATATAATTTCAACAATTGCTTCTTTTCAGGCTTTCAAGAAGCACACAATAATCTAACTAGCAGTAATAATTCAGCATTAATTGAACAGTAGAGAATATTGATAACTATAAGCAACAGAAAATTCATGGTTACATGATCAAATTTCAACAATGTTGCAAATTAAAAACATCCCACCTCTCAAAAACACTACTAAACTGCATTCATCTTCAACCAATTAGATCATAAATCACAATAATCATGTCTTCAAACTAGCATAAATCATGAAAATGCATCAAACTAAATCTGCAAACAAAATTAACCCAATAATTAAAATGAATAAATAATTCCATACCTTTCAAAACAGAAGCCCAATCATCCCTAAACATGAACCCAGATGATCTCAAAACCCGACGACACTCTTCCAAAATCCTTTCTCTCTCCTCAACTCCATCACCCACCAAATCACTCATAATCATAAGCTGAACTTTACTAAATTTCCACTCATAATTGGGGATTTTCTCCTTGGCAAAATCCATCAATTTGAACAACACCCGACCCGCCAATTTGGGTTGCCCGGAAAATTTCAAAGTTCCGGCATCAACCCAGAAAGAATCAGAGTTCTCGCCGGAAAAGGGGTTGCCGGAAACCTCATTTAGAGATCGGAAAACAGAGATTTGAGAGCGAGAGAGTGAAATGTCGACGACAATGCCAAAAGAAGAAGAAGGAAGAAGATGAAGAGAACGGTAAAGAGAGAGAAAGTAAAGAAGAAAAGGGAGGAGAGAGAGAGAGATGATGAGAAGAAGGTGTTTATGGTGGTGGGATTTTGAAGATGGCGGTGGAGGAGAGAGAGAGAATGGTTGCATCCGAGGAGGGAGTTGGGTTTTGTGAAGTGGGATGTATGAAGATGATGAAGATGATTTTGTTGATGATAGTGAGGAAGAAGAAGAGGGAAATTTGTGGTAGTTTGAAGACGCCATTGGAGTGATCTTGGAGCTTGGGGAAGAGAGAGAAGAACGAAGGAGGTTAGAGAATTCACATGGAAATGGAAGTTGTATTAGCACTTCACCAGGAAAGAGAGAGAGTGAAAGGAATGAGATTTTCTCTCTCCTCCTTTGCCTTCAAATGACAAGTTGAATGATTACCGATTTACCATGCGCGGCCGCATCCGCAGGCCGAATGCACCACACCCGCCGCCCCGCCGGTGTATGTTATAATACTAATTTATCGAGACGTTTTGGGCGTGTGATATACTATGTAAATGTTACTATAATTGGCACGAGAGATAATTTGTATGAAATTACTGTGAAGTTTTTTTGTTGGTGAAGTAAACGAACTTTAAAATGAAATTGTCATTGCTTACCAAATGGCGAGCTTCAAGTTGTGTACTACTTATTGAATAACATTTGCTTATTTACGACTAGTGAGATTTGTATAAAATCGGAGGATTACAATTAGTGAGATTTGTATAAGATCGGATGATTAGAGGTAGCAAAGGAATCTGTTGAATCAAGTTTGGTTTGAGTTGATTGTAAAAAATGTAAAAGCCAATTTAGATAAATCACATCTACTTTCAAACAAAATTTATATTACGTAATAAAGTAGGATCAATTTCGAATGATCAACTTCTCATAAATTTTGTCTTGGCCATTCATGAAATTATGGACTATTTAATGGGATAGGGTCAAAAATAGTGGGAAAAATTAGGATTATGAGGAATCACAATTGATAGTACAATGTTTTAACTAAAACAAAGTGTACACGTTCCTTGATTCTTCAACTGATTACATGCTCAATAAGTCAATAGTCCAACCTAAATTGCATATGACAGCCTACTAAAAACTGTTTATAGAAAAGTTAAACAGAAGAATAATAAAGGTTTAACCAAATACAAGTATCTGCAGTAGCATCCAGAATGAGGCTCATCAAGTCATCAGTGTTGCATCTTACAACTATTTTGACCTTGATGGCAAAAAATTGATGTTGTAGAACAATATATGTCCCATGGCAGGGGCCGAATAAGAAAAAAAATGAGAGAATAAATGGTATAGGTAGTTTTAGAACTGAAATTGCATCTCGGAAGTGTATCCTAGAGCTTCGAGATGAGCAGCCATGGCCTTGTTCATTGGAGGTGGTCCACACCTCAAGATCTGATGACAATTCATTGTTACTCATTAGTATTGAAACGTTGGATTCTACGAGGAGTTGAGGGTAGGAGATGCATTAGAGATTAGCAAAGGTCTACCTGAATATCAGAGGCAGGTTCAGGACAATGATCTTGAATCATTTTTGCAGATACGAAACCAACTCCACCACTCCATTCTTCAGGTGGCTAAGGAGGACAAAACATTTGTATATTAGAAAACCTTTCCTATTTTATTTACGAAATATTAGTCCTTAGTATCAACATGCAATGCCTACTAGAACCGCATCTTTAAAAATACTTGCACCAGTAGTAATACTAGTAATACACAAGACTAAAGATACTTCTAGAACAAACTCCTGAACGGTATACCATGCTCAGTGCCACAACAGAGTCACAGGCCATTTTTACATGAATGTACTGTAATAATATTTATGCATGTCAAAATCAATGCTGAGTGCTTCTTCAATGAGATATTACAAATAAGTGATAGCTACATTTACCGTGATTCCCAAATGATTGTTTACTCACCAAAATGAGATAAGTCCTGCTCTTATTCCAACTAAGCAAGGCTTGTAAATGGAAAATGCAGGACAGGAACAAGTCAACAAATGGAAACTGAATGTTCGACTCACTAGTCACTACTAACCTATATGAATCATCAGCATTACTAACCAAATAATAGACCACCCTATTTGTACAACTTTTTCATACCAACTTTGAGCTTGATAGCCACCAATGTCAGCAAGAAAACGAGAGTCCTGTGAGTTGTAAATTACTCAACCCCACACATAGCAACCCTTAAGCTCCTATGCTAATTTCCATTCTCAGATTTTGACCAATGATAATCAAATTAGTATCTAGATATATGATATATAATCGCCTGCAGTATATATTACTTAATGTGCCCTAGATAAGCTTTCTTAAATCAGTCTACTAAACTCTGGAGAGTCCACTAGTCTACCAAATTTCAAACCAACCTCTTTTGAGCAAATTGACCTCTTTCGCCATAGTTAATATTTTTCAAGGTCCCCTGTATCAACATTCTTATTTAGCTTAATCATTTAAAATAAAAACATAAAATAAAAAACAAGCACAATTAAGCATGCTCAAGCCAATTATGCCTGACAATTTAAGACATATCTGCCTGACAAATGAAGACGGCATGAACATGTATATATACTCGTGATACTAGAAAATAATCAATGAGTCATTAATACCATATTAGTCAACAATCAAGCAATGATCTGCAGTTGTAGAGTGAAAGAGGGTTCATTTAGTGTGATACAAGGTTGCAGAAATAAATAAAATCTAATACCTCGTTTAGGACATAGTAAACAGAGAATCGATCAGGGAAACTGTGAGCAAAATTGTCCAGTTCTTCCTGCAATACAAAAAAAAAAACAAATTATAAATGGAAGCAGTTTAATGAGCTGAAAACTCTTGCAATCACACATTATAAGAAAAGACAGCGTATGTTTCGGGTGAAAACAATGGGACCTTGCCGAAGGTCCGCTGAAACGGAGAAGACTGGATTCGGTCCAAGTTATGTTGGGCCGAAGGTTTCCTGCACAGTAAACACACGTAAACTAGCCTCGGGGGTGTTGCCGAGGAAGGCCCCTCCGATGCTAAAGTCAGTACAATGTGTAGAAAGAGAACACTATGCAAGAGAATTAGTTGCTTGAGGCTTTGCTTGAATATATGAGAATATATGAGAATGTATGTGAATATGTGAATCAATCTGTGAATGAATATGAATGTATGAATATTGATGGCTTTTATACCTCTTCATACATGGAGAGGTTGGGCCTTAGCCCAATTGGCTTGCTTTGAGGGCTGACCTTTGACTTTAGCACAATTGGAGAGTTGAACCTTGACCTTGGGCTTTTAATTGGATCATTTAATGCCTAGGCCCAATTGGACTAAATTGGACCCAAACAGCGTATATACAGAAGAGATAATACTGTATCTAACTTATAAAGATTGGGTATAAGCAAAGTGATAACCATAAGAGAAACTAATTAAAGTAATGAAAAACAAATGAATGTTGGAATTACCTTCAAAAGAATATCATCATGCGTGACATTTGCGTATATTAACTGAACCTTGGTCTTGTCACTTGGATTCTTTAATATGGCTCTAGCAACCTAACAATATACAAAATATATCATGAAACAAAGTGACTTGCTCATTTCTGGATATAGCTGGAATTATTGCATTTCTGAGTATATAAAAAAGTAGTAAATCTTCCATTTTACACCACACTGACAGACCTGAAACATTGGAGTAATTCCTGTACCTCCAGCAAGCATACCAAAAGCTCTAACTTGCCCGGGCTGATACTTAAAACGTCCCTGCAATATAAGCAAAACCATATTGGTAACTAAAATACATCCATAGTAAACAGCTAGACAATCAAGCAAGTTTTTCATGGTACACAATTCTAATTAGTTCAAGTAAAATCACTGAAACCCCAGATTGAAGACTAATGGTGCATGGGGTACCATAAATATATCTTGGAATAATATATGATAGGATTACGAGCCTTGGGGCCCTTGACAGACAAGTAATCACCTTCACGCATTTCTCTGAAATGGTGCGACATTCTTCCTTGTGGATACATCTAGAAATCATAGGGTACCTATTTTAGATCCAATTGGAGACAACACAATGCAATAACTACAAGGCAAGGCTAAAAGAGGTATTGGATCAAGTCATTAACTATTGCATCAAGTATACTGGCATACCTTTATAACCAACTCAAAATAGCCAACATCAGAATCCAACGTAGTTGGTGTATAAGCTTTCATAACATCCTCACCATTAGCATCTTTTCCTCTGCATCAACAATGATCAATATCACATATAAGCACTTAAAGTTCTAAGATAAATATGTTCAATTTTGTCGGTCATCATACTCATATAATGCCATTGTACAAAGCTCACAAACCTGCAACTTATATGTTGTCCAATTGGAAGACCCAACACAGAATCTGGTGAAGGAAGAGAAAATCTAAATTTCGCAACATTATGACTTAGCTCAGTCCGTTTCACAAGCTTAAATTCCTTGAACGCTTCAGGGTCCAAGCAACCTAACACAACAATTATCATCAATAACACAATACAGTGAAATTGAATTTAAACATTTAGAAAGGATCACAATGAAATACTACACATCAAATTAAATCTTGCAACTCAATTAAAGTCACTAGTACAACTTTAAGTGACCTTACACATATGAAATTAAAACATCAAGATCAACATTGTTGTCGAGAGCCTGATTAGCTGACCCAATCCGTTTGGTATAAAGGCTTTGGCATTGTTTTTATATGATAGTTTGATCAAGCATTAAGGATCATCAAACTTACTACATCACCCCTACATTTTTATCACCATCACCCCTACATTTATGTCATCATCAAAACATCTTTAATCTTGACCAATCCACTTTGGGCTAAATGTATACTAATATAATACATAATGCCACTGTTCCAGTATTTAACTTTAACCATTAGAGTCCCTTAGTTTCTCAAGATCAACCAGAATTTCCAGAAATACATAAAATATTTTTGATTAAAATAGCCCTAGAATCATTACTTCACAAGTCAAAGTATCCAAATCTTCTAGTCATTAACAAAATTATTTTCCAGTACATATCTAAGGAACCCAGAATTGTTTATGCCCAGAGAATCCAACCAATATATTTTAAATATTTTATTCATGATGCAGCTGATCATCTCAATTTATTATATTCCCAAAATTCAATATTATAACCTATGAAAATTCAAAAACATCCCCAACAACATAGTTATTATAATCAATGAAAACCCCAGAATTAATAACTGAACAATAGTCAATTAAACAACAGAAATAGCAGCAAATCATCAAAATATACAAAAAAACGCAGAAATTGAAGGGAAAAAGAAGGGTACTTTTGAATTTGGATTTAGATTTGTTGGAAAGATAGAAATAATAAGCAGAGCCAACACCAATGGCAGCAAGAGCAACAGAAATGCCTATAATCTCATTTCTGTGAGACTGCAAGGAATCCATGATTAACCAATTAAGTGATTAAATCTCCTTTTCTTTTTTTCCCCTCTCCTGAGAAAAATGATGAATCAATTTCTGGGTATTTTGTGTGAAATCAGGAAGAAGGTGGGATTGAATGAAGGGGTTTGAGATGAACAACAATGGTGGGTTGTTAATGGAGGTATCGTGTTTGGTTTAAACTGTTTTGACTCTACCAAACTATACGCTTCACCATTCGTGGGTTCATGCGCCCACTACACTTTCCCTTTTCACTAAAAAGATTGATTATTCTATCACCTTTATTCTAAAAAATACAAAAAGTGGTTGGTTGGTTATTTACAAATTTCAAAGGGTTCCTTTGCGCCGTTTTGAATGTGTATGTTTGTTAATGTGACGGTGTGAAACTTATAAATCTAATTACGAATTACTTATTACTTGAAATAAATTTTGATTATATAAAAATTTGATATATTATAATGTTTATTGAGATAAATCGAACAAGACTTAAATTGAAATGTTTAAGTATTAATAAGTGAACGGTTTTAGATCATTTTTACTTTTTTGGTGAAACTGGTTCAACGTAAAAGTTGAGGTTATTGCCGTTATTTCTAACAAAAGTTGGGTTGTTTATCGGTCTAAAGGTTCAAAAACTTTGTCAAAACTTAAAACATAAAATTCATAAACTTGAAGATTGGATGATCATGCCAAAAGTATGATCCAAGACCTACCTGAACTACATTGGTTTGAACCGGTTGTGCATCAGTGATTAAATACTATGGAGTATATTTTTCAATACTAAAATGAGATGATGACAATAAAGGAAAGAAATCAATAAGACAATCTATTTGGTATTAATTATTATTTTTTTCCTGAAAAAATATTATAGCACATTAGCACCCATTACAATTTTTTTATAGCAAAATCCCCTAATAAAAGGTGGACTATACTAGCTGGGAATTTTTGGTTATAATGTGTCACTTAACAATACAATTAAATTCACATAACCAAGAACTCAGTTTGTAGCTTCTGGTTGAGCAGCTGCTTCTTTGCCTTCAATTTCTGTTTTCTCTTCAGATTCATCTACTTCTTTCTCTAGAGTTTTTTCAACCTTCATAACTCGAAAAATTGCAAGATGAGTATCCCCTGCCAAAATCAGTATAAGAATTCAGCATTTAGTTAACCAAGCTATATATCTACACAATCCTATATATGATTAGAAAATTAATCAATAGGGGACTGTTATTCCTTGCTAGCAGGATCAGAATCATGAGTTAATCAATAGGGGACTATATCCTCAGTCGCGTTCAATTCAAGTTGAACTTGTGCTCACAAATTCAAATAAAAACTCTGCTTAATTCATAATAGCTAGACTTGAATTCAAGCAGTTGCAACCTATTTATATATGTACTGCTTTGGCTAATTCATTTTAAGTTAAAAGTTAAATAAGTTCCTTGGAGAAATACTTGTATACTCATTGAAGAGCTTGTTAAACCTGCATGTTCAAGTTAGTTCTGCTAAACTCATAAAGACCCTGACTAGAATTCAAACTCCATTCGAGTTTTGACCAAACTTAACTCGAGCAACTCATTATCATATCTAGTGCATAAGTGCATTGCTTACTGCTAAACACATTGATTATGATACATGTTGTCTATATTGTAGCATGCTTGTAATAGTATTAGTTAGTTAATTACCGAATGTGAGCAAGCTTCCAGGAGGTACGACTGCTGTAAAACCGGGTTGTACTCGCTTTTCATTGATGTAAGTTCCATTTGTGCTGTCTAAGTCACTGATGTAGAGACTTCCTTCTTTGTTCTGAATTCGAGCATGCATCCCAGAAACTGCAACTCCAACCACATATATAGCTATATTTAGCAAATAAACTCCTACACTTTTTATATATGACAATGTCTAAACACTATGTATTTGGTATATGCAAGATAATGATCAAATTGGTAATCTATTGAAAGATCAATGAAATTGAACATTATTTATCTACTACAAACATAATTTCATATAAGAATGAATGAGAATTCATACTTCAAAGTACTCGAATTAACTATTCTCCGTAGATTCAATATTTAGTTATTTACTATAACACGAGTCATTTATGAATTGTAACAACAATACTTCTATTTTAGTAATTCATGCTCTGTGACTGTAGACTACGTGTTACTTTAATTTTATAAAAAACTTATAATACTCGTGCTCGTGTTTTTTTTTTAAAAAAAAATATATATATATATATACCTGTGGCAACAGGAATTACCAAATCTGCTTTCTGAGGCTCTCTCCCAATCACCATCTCATCACTCTGATCAATTGACACCATAATATGAGTACCCTAGCTAATGTATCATCATATTTAAAATTACATAAACAAGTAAAATGGTGAAATAATAAAATAAAAGTTATCAACTTACAGAGAAAATTTCATATGCTCCTGGCATTGGTACCTTAAAACCTATATGTTTCCAATCACCATCTCCTGCAACACATACCATACATAAATCACGCCTTACTTTTAAAAAAAAAAAAAAGATATCGGGGAGATTATAAAAGTAACTCCGCTGATATAAAATATCAATACATAATCTACTATGGGTTCGGATTTAGAAAAATGTTACAACCAATATATAACTCCGCTAGTATAATATATCAATACATAATTTACTATGGGTTCGGATTTAGGACAATGTGACAACTTCTTCTAGGCCGTGGAATAATAAAAATTATATATTAAAACGTGAACACTATAATAAGTTACTGACCTACAGGTTCAAGAACCCAGCCCTGAACAACATTAGCAGGAGAAGTGTCACCTTTAGAAGCATATACAACTCCAAATTTCTTTTTTGGGAATGAATTGATGATTCTAACACATTGTAAATTTAGCCTTTTTAAACCCAGATTTTGAACAGATTGATAAGAAAAGGCAGAAGTTTCACATTGTAAAAATGTGGGAGAAATTGAAGTTGAAGTAGAGCAATTTCTTATTAAAGGCTTGGAAATTTTTGTGTAGGACAGAGATTGAGCTACTACTGCTTCCATTATTATTGTTGATCAAATAATTTGTCAATTGGAAACAAAGATTAGAAGTTTTTTTTTTTTTTTTTTTTTTTTGGGATATGTGGCTAAGATATTTGGATAGGGAAAATTTTAATTTTCTGGTTAATTTGGCATATGAGTTGAGGATGTGGCAACCATTTATTGCTTGTGATAGTGATATGGATAACAAAATCTTCTTTGTCAAAAAAAAAAAAAACTTCTAATCTTTGCCCATTGTAAATGTTTGGAATAATAATAGTTTAGTTTAACATATAATTCATTCTCATTCTTGTTTTTACACTATTCATGTGCTTATTGTGGCCGTCTAATTTTTGGCTTTCACATCCTTATTTTTTTTGACACAAGACACATCCTTATTTTGATTGTGCATAATAACAACATATTCATGTGTTTACTTTGACTGTCTTAATAAGTTTGCACTATTCATGTGTTTGTTTTGATAATGCATATTCATGTGTTTGTTTTGACAAAGCATATTCATGTGATTACTTAAATTTGACCACATATATTTTCACTAATATATATCACTACATTCATGTACTTACATTAAGTATCTTAATTTTGCACTATTCATGTGCTTAATTTGAAAATGCATATTCTTGTGAATAATGTGATCACTTTGACTATGTATTTTTTTACTAATATCACTTTGACCATGCACATTTTTTTACTATATATATTTTTACTAATATCACTTTGAGTCTTTGACCATGCACATTTTTTGATTAATATATACTCGTAGCTAAGTATTTTCAAAATAAATAAAAAAAAAAAAGATTAATAAAATTGCCCCCATGCTGGATCGAACTACAGACCTTCAGTTTATGACGCTCTACCACTGAGCTATAGGGGCCTTCTGATCAACTTTTAACCTCTTAAATTATTAGAATGTGAAATTAATTGTCAATGTTAGCTTATAACCATTAATTCTATACATTAATGGACCTAGCAAGCTTATGATGGATGAGTAGTGTAACTTTTAATACAACTGGTTACTCTCAGGTGAACTCTGATATATATATATATATGGTCTGAAAATTTATCAATAATAATTGCTAATTCTAAGTTTATCTTTGATAATCACTAAAGGGCATTAACAGCCATTACTGACACTAATCTATTATACTAGTTCTTTTTTTTTTTTTTTTGACGGGTATTATACTAGTTCATAACTACCTGCAATTTTATTTTATTTTTCTGATGGTAAATTTTTTCCCTTTTTAAAAAAAAAAAAATTGTATGATAAGTTCACCACCTCAGCACCAATAATTCATAGTATCCACAATAAAAGGAAACAATATCACACAAAAAAGGAAAAACTGATTCTAAAGATCATTATGATCATGAGAAAAAGGCTCAATATGCACTCTTTGGTTAGGATCTTGGCATTAGCATACCAAAAAATTTGAATGCAGTCCAGCAGAAAGATTGCTCAGGTTTTCAATCCATGTAACCATTACCGGGATAAAAACCCAGCCCTGAAATATAACGAGTATTCAAGAATGTAAGTAAGCTGAATGGATATATCATATATATACATAAATACTTTGTGTTACACTTTTGCTATAAGAATAATACACTTTGTTCTTTAAACAACCGCTAAGAAAAAAAAAAATACAACGAATCTTGTGCACTTGGCCAACCCTGATACACCCAAGTCTCCGGCACTGTCAAACACTAATCTCTTTAAGAATCAACAGTCTTTACACATTTGCATTTGCACATATGTATCAATTATAGTTCAGGAGCACAATGCATGAACACTAAAACATTAAAATCAAATAGCCAAGACTGAAGGAAAAGAAAGAATAAGAAAATGCTCCCAGAAACCCAGATTGCAGAATGTCAAAAGTCTCAGATTTAAATTTCAGGAGGCAGGAGCAACGTACATCATCATAGCCTGAGATACAGGAATTTGATATGTGACAACAGAACTCGAAGCAGCTGAGAATTCTTGCAAGTTAGCAAATGAGGAGCCCTGTCATGTTTTCTGCAGCAATCAAACGACTTTCAAGCAACATAACTCCACTAAATATAATAGCTCTGCAGTTTTGATGATCACTTTGTATCAATTATCAATATTACATTTTTTTCGTTTACGTTCTAAATATTTTATCAAATATATCAAGTTATATTTGGATAACAGCAAATGAAAAGGAACACTGTTACTCAATAAGCCAGTCAATGACTCAAAGTTGCCACATTTCTGTTACTCAACTTTGGCCACTAAAAAAATAAAAAATAAAAAAAAATATTGAGACGGTCCAATTCATTTAATCAGCCTTATTTCACAAGTACTAGAAGCATTTCTACTAATTAATTGCAAAGTGTTTTCATTTTCTCTAACGCTAAAGTGAAAGCAAAGTGGATATAAGAATGCATTGGAATATTTTTCAAGAAACTATTACTACGTATATCCAAATTGAAGCAATCATAAGATACATGTCAAACATTTGCTACCAATTGATCAACTAATTATGCTCACATTTTAATTTTATTTTTTTGACAAAATACACAAGCTATACTTACTTTCATGCAGAAAAGGAAAACATTATCAAACACGAGGATTGTCATAGCTAAATAATATATCCCACATAAGGTAATAAACCAAAGCAAATCAAAAAATTGAGATATGGAGATATTAAAAGTTTTCATTAATGCATTTGACTATAAAGGAAGGCAACTAAGAAATAACAATAATGTAGCCAAGTATTTACTGTCTAGTTGAATAGCTAATTACAAAAGGCTGTAAATTGAATGTTCATAGATTGGTCTTTCTCCCTTTAATTTTTTTTCCATACAGAAGTCTTGCTCAAATTTCTTTTTGCCTTCCCCAAATCTGCTCATCATGAGGAAAGCTATTGATTTGAATTGTGCACCAGTGGAACAATACCCGGTTACTAAGACGTTAACTAAGTCAGATATGACAACATCCCAACTGGTTTTGCCTCGACACTCAGTTGATGAATTTATTGTTCCAAACATGCCTGAAAATATAAGACAAAGGCTACAAGAAGGCCGGGCAAATATCTGGGTTGTCGATGATGAAAATTGCTTAGAGCATTTTCTGACAATGATAGATCGGGACCATCGCTATTCAATCATTAGTTGGGGTCATGTCCGTGAGACCAGGGAATTGAAAGAGGGTCAACTGATGCGATTTGGGTGGATGAGTAATAAGCTACATTTCATAGTTGCACCAGAAGGTAAGTTTGGTATGATTTTACAGATTTTGATATCTTATTAGAGATGGCTTTCTCTCATTAAATTTGAATCCAAACTTTAGATTTAGACAACAGAGAAATTGTTGACATTTGTTTTGAACCACATACGCAGAAAATTTTCATACATCTCAAAAAACTATAAATATACTCCATGATAATCTATCTGTCTAGTCAAGAAAAGCACATACAGAATAGGCGATGTTAAGGTATATTAGAGAAAAAAAATTGAGAAAGAATAAGTTTTCATCTACTAATTGCATAGAGATTTAGGGAGAGTTAAAAATAAATTATAGGGAAAAAAAATTTACAAAGATGGAGTAAAGGGAAAATTGGGGTGGATAAGTGGGTCTGGATCCCAAATTGAAAGATAAGAGCTTCATTAAAGAACAAAAGGAGTAGTTTTTACTTTTCCCAGTTTATGTCGAGTATATTTGGTGAACAAACATATTATGCAGAAAATGACAGCAGGAAGGCAGAAAATACTAAACAAAAGGGTGGACAAAGTGAAGGTGAACGCAAAGACAAAAACACAGATGAACCTCCTGCTAAAAGGATAAAGGACATGGGTAAGTCTGCCTTGCAACATGGAGAGACTTAGCTTTTCTTTTCACCATTGTCACCTAAATTGTGCATAACCCGTATCGCTTACATTACTTGGTTAAGTATAGATTTTTTTTTTTTTTAATCGAAAAAAAAGTACAGAAATATTTGTCTTCCGACTGTTGAAAGAACCTATCCTTCGATCTATGTCAGTAGTATTGCATACAAGAAAACAATTTTATATATCGACGTACTACTTGGAAGTGTTGGAACTTAGATTCCTTAGTTGTAAGTACAGAGATTTTGTTGCGGTGGGAGAAATAATAGTCCACCGCCAATTTAATTTTCAATGCTTCAAACAGGAAAACAAGATCTTGTAGCATATCTACGAAATTTTGCAAAATGCACTCGTAATTCACATGACATCTTCTAGAGAAAAAATTGACTCCACCAATGATATAAAGATGAAGTATCATTTGATTCCTGTTGCCAAGACACCATTTCAGAAACCTCACTTTGCCAATTTATGCTAATTGAACAATTCATTTCATCCCAAAATGTAAATGAATCTTGACGTGCAAGCATGGGTATAAATATATGAGAATTAGTTCAGACCAAAATAAGGATTTTTTTTCCAATAAAAAAAAAGGGTAATTTCTGACAATTGCACAGTTGCACACATACACTACACTACATAAGTACCTAACTCCAAAAGACAAAACGATAATCAATATTCCCATTGTTAAATGGCCATTTTGCTTGCTCCTATTCATTAGACTTGGCATGATGATGACTTTTTGTTATCAAAATTTCTTTGAATTAAAAACCAAAAAAAATACAGTGTGTTTGGTTGGATTTTCTGGCATTTGGTTTGTAAAATTGAGGAAAAGTATATTTTCAGTGGAACACTACATTTCATCTCTATTACAACCTCCAATTTTTTCCAATTTATACTCCTCCCTTTCAGTTTCAGCTTTCACTCTCTTTCTAACTTTTTAATCAAGGAACCAACCAAACGAAAATCATTTTTTTACTAAAGATGAAATCCTTCCTACCATAATGCAGGCATGTAGCTTTAAATTGTTCAAGTTCTCTCGTAAAATGTTTCTTTCACAATGTGGTTTTATCTGTAGAGTTGTCTTTACTTCACACCCTACAATAGCTTTCCAGTTATCTATGTTTTCAGTGGAACACAACATTTCATCTCTATTACAATCTTCAATTTTCTCCAATTTATACTCCTCCCATTCAGTATCAGCTTTCGCTCTCTTTCTAACTTTTTAATCAAGGAACCAACCAAAGGAAAATCATTTTTTACTAAAGATGAAATCCTTCCTACCATAATGGAGGCATGTAGCCTTAAATTGTTCAAGGTCTCTCGTAAAATGTTTCTTTCACAATGTGGTTTTCTCTGTAGAGTTGTCTTTACTTCACAACCTACAATAGTTTTCCAGTTATCCATGTTTTCAGTGGAACACTACATTTCATCTCTATCCCAACCTTCAATTATCTCCAATTTATACTCCTCCCTTTCAGTTTCAGATTTCACTCTCTTTCTAACTTTTTAATCAAGGAACCAACCAAAGGAAAATCATTTTTTACTAAAGATGAAATCCTTCCTATCATAATGGAGGCATGTAGCCTTAAATTGTTCAAGTTCTCTCGTAAAATGTTTCTTTCACAATGTGGTTTTCTCTGTAGAGTTGTCTTTACTTCACACCCTACAATAGTTATCCAGTTATCTTGTATACTAAATCACTATCTAATATTACGTTATTGTAATGAGAAATAACCGCTCAATTGTGAACAGTAACACCTTGTAACGTTTATGAGATTAGATTCTAAAGTAATTTTATTAACTAGAGGCTACAGGATCATAGCTTGTTCTGCTAAAAGAAATGCTAGATCACCATTGATTAAACTTTGTATGGTATAGATAGGGAAACAAGATCATGTATCATAGCTAAGAACTTCTACAAGATACGCCCATGATTCATGTGACATCTTCTAGAAAACAATACCAAGCTAAGCTTAGCCTATTGGCAAGGATTATACCTTCAGACCTTGAATTTGGTGGTTCATTCACAATTTGGAGTGAGGAAGCCTATCTACTTTAGAATCATGGAGTTTTCTTCCAGAACTATCCCTTACTCTCCCCTCCCTTTGACTCCCAAAAGACCTAACTGTCAATATAATAAATATAAAGTAATAAAGATTTAGTATCATCTAATTCTTTTGCCAAGACATTCATAAAATACCTCACACTACTAGTCTATATTAAATGAACACTTCATTTCACCTCAAGTAATCATGCTAGATCCTCGACACGCAAGCATAGGTATAAGTACTTAACACTTTGTTTCGGACTCACCAAAGTAAGAAATTTGCTCATATAATAGGTAGATTATACACTTGCACACATACCCTTACTTGAAAATAGTACAGAAAAAACACGATTAACAATTCTCTTCATAATTATATTTCTGAAACTTGACATTTTGCTTGCTTCATTCACTAAGTTTGGCATGATGATCACTAATTTTTTAATAAAATATATATCATTACAAACATTTCTGTGGGTTTTGAACCATAATATATAGAATTTGGTGGAAATCAATTTTGGAAAAAAAAAAAAAAATGGTTTTTTTTGGTTTAAAATTTATGAAAAATAGTTTTTTTTTGGGAGTGGTATGCCACACTTCCTCTTCATTACTTACCTTCCAGGCTTTCAAACTCTATCCTCACTTTTATCTCTTCCATTTCATTTCTAATTTTCCTTTTCCCTCCAAGTTTTCCATCGTGGATCCAAACAAAGGAAAACCAATCTTCCATGCATTTTCTATGGAAATGGACAATCACTTTCAGTTGAAATTGATTTCTGTCCTACCATAAATAGAGGCTCAAAAGTTTAGATCGTTAAAGTTCTTTCACATTGGTTGTGTTTTGTTTGATGGTTTTCATAAAAAATGTTTTCCCATTACCCCTCATTTTCATTTGTTTGGTTTGTGAAGAGATGGAAAATTATTTACCCAATAGTGGAAAATAACACTCTCAATTATGAAAATATTTTCCTAATAAGGGAAGCCACATTTTCCTCCCTCCTTACATCTTTTTTTACTTTTCTCTCATCCATCCTCACCGTTCCACTCCTATTTTCATTTTCTTTAAGTGGAGCAGACTCATGGACTACAGTTTCAGCCTAGAAGTAGTACAATTTTCATTAACCAAGCCTTTTCTTGTAAGGAAACAAAGATAGGAGAACTAATTTGTAATATTGGTTTTAAAAATACATTTTCCATGAAAAATCATTCTTCATTAAAAATGTTTTACGTCAAACCTACAATATCTTTCACCCTAATTATCTTGTAAACTACATTAGTAGGAAGAAGCTACAACTGATTCTTTGTTTCAAGATATAATGTTTCCCCCAACCTTGCAGGTGCATCTGGAGAATCAGTGGCAGAGGGTACTAGTGGCACTGCGGATGTCAGTTCTTAAGGAGGAAGCGCTATGCTCTTAAACTACCATATACAAAGCTCAGATTTCTTTGTCTGCCTTTGTTATGATTAAGAGCTCATTTTTAATTTATCGGCCTCGAGGTTCGTAAACCTCCATGAGAAAAACATAAACAATTATCTCAATCTGGTCGGAATAAGCAAACAATAAACTGCTTAATTTATGCTGCTTTTCAATATTATCAGGATTTTGAGGATTGCAATAATTTGAATTTGGGTTTTGAACAATTTTTGGTGAATTTCTCAAATATGTTGTCATGTTCATGCAAGTTTTACAAATCTAATTGCAATAGGTATGAAGTAATTTCATATCGAAAATTAAACAGAACCAGATGAACAGGTGATGAAGATGAAGATGAAGATGATGAAATTACCTGTGATTATTTGGTAGATTGTGGTTGAAAAGCCATAAATTACCTGTGATAAATCAGAAGATTGCAGGTTAATTACAATAATTTAAACCCTAATCAGGGTTTCTGTGAATGGAGTAAATTGTAGAGGATTTGAGCCTTACCTGGAAATCAAATCATCATTTTCCAGTGATTTGATTTGGGCCTTGCTCATAGTAGCTTAGCTTGCTTGATTCATGAATGATTTTAGCATGCAGTATCTTGAAAAACCCTAAATTGGAAACAATTTTAGAGTTTCAAGTCGAAAACCCTAAATTGGAAACAATTTAAGTGTTTTAGAGGAGAGAGAAAGAGGAGAATGAAGAACATGATGTACACTTTTAACAAGTTAGAAACAATTGTTTAGTGTATGACTGTACGTAGTATGCAGGTTAGTCACTTGAAGTACAGGTTGAGCCGTAGAGGTAAATAGATCTTCTGTTTTGCACCTCCGATTATCCTCAATTGGTAAGATTCGAACTTAAAATACTCCGTAATGTGTACTTGTATTTTTCCCCGTTAATAATATTCACAGCACGTGTTTTTTCCGTTTATTTTTTAATATGAGTATTACCTTAAATTTTTCTATACACCCAAAAACATCATCTTAAATCCACGTGCAAACCCAAAAACATCATCTTAAATCCACGTGCAAATTTAAATGTTCAAATACTTTAAAAAGGAGAGAGCTTTATCGAATTTACCATATTCAAATATGAAACTTATTAGAGAGGTTGCTTCATTTGTATCAAGAAAAAAATACCAACAACAATTTTTATTTGGAAATTTTGCGAGGAAAGTTCTTTTAAGTGGTCGACCTTGTAAGAAAGGCCCTTTTATAAAAAAAAATGACACAAAAGGTCCTTATATCATGTTTGGGTTGTGAGAAGGGTCCTTTGACCATTTTTCGGCGTTGACTTTTTTATTTTCCGGACAAAAAAGTCACATCTAAGTTCTCTTTTTTCTCCCTCCTCTTTTCCCTCGTTTTCCCCCTATTAAACCCTAATTTGTGAAAACAATTAACACCAAAACTTCAATTGTAATCCCGTAAATTAAAATTGAAGGCTATTCAAAGTAATTCAAGGCTAATCCTTCCCACAATGAGAGAAAATAGGGAAAAAAGGGAACTTGATAAGTCACGTGCTTTCCACGTGGTTTTTTTTGTCCGGAAATAAAAAAGTCAACGCTGAAAAATGGTCAAAAGACCCTCCTCACAACCCAAACATGATATAAGGACCTTTTATGCCACCTTTTTTTTTTATAAAAGGGTCTTTCTCACAAGGTCGACCACTTAAAAGGACCTTCCTCACAAATTTTCCTTTTTATTTTATTATTTTTTTTAAACGGAAATACCAACAACAATTTGGTATCTAAATTCAGGACAAAAAAAATAAATAAATAAAATAAATAAATAAAGTTGTTGAAATACTTTCCTTGTTTTCTTCTTTTTAACCAATAATGTTCCATTGCAAAATTCTAATAAGCCAAAATGTTGTGGCAAACTTCATATTCTATAAAGAGTACAACAATTTAATACTCCAAAATCGGTAATATACTACTCCCTCCGTTTTTAAATATTTATTGCTCTTACAATATTTAATTTATTTCTCTCACCTAGAGGACCCAACATGTATTCACTCTCCTCGAATTCTCTCCACTGCTTTTGCCTTTTACATTTTTTAATTCTTCCACCAACCCCACTACCTTCATATTCTATTATTTTCTCTAATTTCTCCTAAAACTCCGCACATGGAGAAATTGAGCAAGTATTTAAAATGGAGGGAGTATCTCCTTGCTTTTCTACTTTCCCATTTCGTTAATAACGAGTACAATTTAGTTTATCCCTTTCTTATTTGATTTGAGAAGGATCCACTTACCTCGTCAATTAAACTACCTTGAACTGAACTATTTACTAATCAAATTGCATTACTATACTTTGTATTAATAACAAAAGCCGCATTCTTCAAACTTCACCTAAAAGTCTAAAATTATATCTTGACATGGGGGCAAACTACATTGTAAATCATATGTTATGCTGAAAGCAACCGAATAACTGCATCTTCCCCAGAATTCTGATATGATACAGAGAAACAAGGGTGATGTGTATGTAAGGACTACTAAGGAGGAGGGAGAAGGGCCAAAAGAGAGTGACAAGAACAGACAATAACGGTAACTTTAGATATTGGACAAATATTGCAATTTCAAGGAAAAATGAGGTCATTTACATAGACATTCTGCATTAACATTTTGCAGACGCTCATACCAGTCACACACTGGTGCCAACAGCACCCTAAGCTTCGATTAACAACTCAAAGGCTAAACCACTTGTACACAGGTTAGCACACGTCACAACAGTTACACCAGCCCAACAATGAAGCCAATGAAGGTGTCAGTTGTGCCCGACTGCCCTTACCTCTGATGTGTACTTCATTGCGGGAAGCACTGGTACATACAATAAGCAAAAAATCAAGTCCTTGGCCTAACCCTTCTATCATTAGTATCACCACCATCAGAGAGTTGGGCCCACACACTCCGGGACTTTCCACCTGCGCTACTGCAATCATCCTCACAACCAGCAACTGTCTTTAGAAGCTCTGATTGCAAAGAGGGACAGTGTTCTCTAAGATACTCAAAGCCATCAGAGCGCATAACAGCTGCATAGAAGAACCAAAGGAAAAAAAACATCAGAAAAAGTCCAAACAAATAGCTCAGCACATTCACAGAGATTGCAATAAACCAAATACAAGTAAATGAAAATCGACTAAACTGCAGATAATTTGCAAATACCATAACCAACAATATGAAAAATAACTCAAACTCTCTAAAACAAATGAAAATAATAAATACTTGATATAAGCCAACCCACAACCTATCCCGAGTTCCCAACAAACACACACACACACACATTGAGGGAAAAAAAATGCCAGAGAAACATAGAACAGAACATAACCTGCAAGGTTTTCAGCCGCAAATCTTAAACAGACAGCCTTCAATTCGGAGGCATTGTGACAATCAGCCAATGCTAGAATCTCACCAACAGTATTGACAGATATACCCTTGCACAAGGAAGATTCACACAACTGTCTGAGCCTTCCCAGTCCATATTTGTCTGCTGCCGCCAACAACTTACCTATTAACAAATCAGCTATATGGGACTCACAAGAGGAACTTAGTGAAGCAAGGTCCGCCTCTTCCACTAGAGCATCTCTGTATATAAAGTGCAACATAGCCTGAAAATAATGTTCACAAATTGTTAATGTGCACGTCTATTTGAAAATAAAAAAGCCATCAAATCCATTTTCCTTGGTTTCTTTACTGCAAGTTAAGATTAAGGATATTGGAGCAAGACAAAGAACTTAAAAAAGAATATTCCACCGGTAGATAAAAATGCATTCTAAGTAGAAGGCATACAGCATATAGAAATTTAGATGGCAGACAAAAAGGTTTGAAGCCATTAGAAAACACATCACCTTGAATACTTTAGGCTCCACGTCGGTCACAGTAATCTCTTCTTTTCCTTCCTCTAACTTGTCCAAAAATTCAGAACGAAATACAGGTGACCGAGCAGCCAAGACCAATTTATGTGCATGAAATTTCTCTCCAGCCACATCAAAGATAATATCTGAACCTTCTACGTTCTCTAGTAACATGCCAAAATGCACTCCCATGTCAGACTCAGGAACACGAATTGGGTGCAATCTAGGACATTCTACTGATGACACTACAACACCAACAGTACAATTGATTTTCAGACAGTCATCCTTAAGGTACGTCGATGTCTCAAGCACACTCCTCTTGAAGAAGCGCTTATATCCCCTGCATGTATAGATGAACAACCATAAGGATTAAGAAATACATCAAGCTTCTTCAAAAAAAAACACACACACACACACACACACACACACACACACAAACACGTAAAGAAAGCAGTTACACCAGAGAGATAAATCAGAAATCTCAAAACTCATGACCAACCACAGTGATTGAGATAGAAACAAAAAGGATCAGTAATAGTAGTATAGTACATACAGAAACAACAGAAGGAACAAAACATACTATATCAGCATAGCATAGAACCCAATGGGGAGAATATATTGATAGCTAAACAAATTAACTAGAAACAGGAATACTCTCCAAAAGGTGAGATTAGTGATAGCTGACTGGGTTCCTATTTCCTAACACTTCCATTAACTCCAAAGTCCAAAGTCCAAACTCCAAAGCACCTCTCCGTTCACAGGAAGCACGTTAGCATCTATCTGTCAGTGATGTAATTCCTATATGTTTCCCTTCATGTTCCACTCCCTCCCCCACCACAAATCTCTGTATCCATCTCAGTGATGTAATTCCTATATGCTTCCCTTCATATTCTACCCCCTCTCCCACCAGAAATCTCTGTATTCATCTCTGTATGACCCTACCACTTGGATTAGATAAAATCAGCTATGAGCCACATGAAATGACCTAGCACCCTTGCTACCTGATCACCAAACTAAGGGTTGAGGATACGACACATCCCAAAAGATTACTATATATTTCCTTCAACAAAAACAAAAAACAAAAAAAGAAAGAAGAAAAAAAAAAAAAAGACTGCAACTGCAGCACTTTGACAATTACACTTACCAATGCACAACATACAATGAAACTAATATAACAACATTTTAGTTTATAACATATACTTTCAATAATATAGCAAAAAATACGTGATCAAAGTTAGCATAAGAATAGTGCAAACCCAAAAAATAAATAAATAAATAAATAAATAATAAAAAAAAATAATAATTGCAATTATTTTGAAATGGAGTAAGTATGTATGTTACTAGGTCAAGAAATATTCAGTCTATCATGCTACTAGAAACTAGACAGCCATGATTTTCAATGTCTAAGCAAATTCCTTAGGTAGATTGCCAGCTAAATTCCCCGGAAAACAACCAAATGCTAGCCAAAATTTAAAAACCACAATACTTTTTGTATTAATTTTTTATAAATTAAAGGGGAGAAGCAGTAGGTCTTATTAGAACAGGGGAGCACCAATGTTCAGTGGAAATAGTAAAAGATCATTAGAATTGTTGTTGCGTTAAGGAAATGGGTGTCCTGCAATCAGTGCCCTCTCAATAAAGCCAATAGAGGTAAATATGGGAAAGCTGACTTAGAGAATTAATTAAAAAAAAAATCTTCTCAATTCAGAGTAAAAATTAGTAGATATTATATGGTGCAGTCGTGCAGATCATAATAAGCATACATGAGAGGATTTGAAATAGAGGTACACAACAAGATAAAGGCGAGGATGATTCACTTTAGTTACATCTGTCTTTGCTTATACTAACTTAATTTCATAGTGGCTGTTCCAAGTGGAATGACTGAGCCCAGTAAAAATGAAATAATCGCTTGAAGTTGCTAACCTTCCTTGGTTTAAAGGTAACAATATTGTCACATACCCATAGACACCAGGGAATCTCACTTATAAAACGAAGGATGTGCATATTACACGCACACGGAGGAGGGAGAAAGAATTGGTTAATTAAAAGGAAAAAAAGAAAGTAAACAGTAGTACTTACCCTCCACAAATATTCTATTTATGTAGACCTTTTATTTTATGACACTTTTAAGTTTTTAACAGCCAAGTAATATAAAAGATATTTATTACAAATGTTATCAGTAAGTAAGGGTCTTCTTGTCATATACAAGTCCTCGCTCCCCAACTTGACCACTTGATTGCAATTCAACACATCCTCCCCACCCCCCCCTCCCCCTCACCCCTTTTATCCAAGACTGCCATCTTTGTTTCATGGCTCAGTCCTAAACAGCTAAACCCATCATGAAAATCTGATGAAAAAAACAAGCAGAGGTACATCCACTAATGCACACCGTAGTATAAAAAATAATTCCCATGACACTCTTCAAAGAATCATAAATAACAAATATGCATAGCAACAAGCACAGAGTATGCAACCTATGAAAGAGCAATTTAAATTACTGAAAAGCTTCCTGAAAACCTGGCACATGTATCAGCTATGACATGTATCCGATCAAGTTAATTCAGAAGACCTTGAACATGTCAAAGGTCAAAATCTGACAGAAATGTATAGTCTCAAAGAATACAATAGATTTGAATTGACACGCTCAGAAGAACCACACACTTTGCAATAGAATTTGCAACAAATTCCCTTATTTATCTTCTCCTAAAATCCTATAAAACTCGAGAAATTATTGGACGATAATGTATTTTAATTATTTCCTGAGCTATTCTCAATTTCTCCGTCTTTTCCTCTAGCAAAAGGTGTTACTCTTGTCTAACACCTAGATCAAGTCGAGTGCATTCACAATACTGTCCTCTTTCCCTTCAAATAGCTAAGTGTACAATCCAGCAAGAAATGACTCCGAATCTCCAATTCAAGAACAATAAACTACCAAGCCCAAATTACAACAAAACATAACATCACAACTAACTAGGGGAAAACAAACCCAGTATATTACAATATCACCAAATAAAAGGGCGCTCTATAACCCTAGATAATCCCTTCCACGAACATACAAACTCAAAATGATGTTCCCTCCCTCATTCGCCCCGAAAGTGATCCAAGACTCATATTATCCACAATATCGCACAAAATTCAGTTTCAGATATCAACAATTCCCGGAACAAGTAAGTGATTTCAACTCGAAATCCAAAATTCAGCTACCAAATCCACCCTTCTTTCCCAATGACCCAAAATTAGCAACAATCAATCAATGAAACCCATAAACAAAACAACAATCAATTCAAAACAAAAACAATCAATCAAACATCCAATGAAGAAAATTAACAGCATAAACCAAGAAGACATACCACATACTACCCCTATACTTCAAAGTATAAGGGCCACTCTCCAAAGAACGATCAAAATGACTATGAACCTTATGCTTGGGTTGATCACCTTGATCAACAAGAGTGAGCTCAAACAAAGCCCTGACATCGGTACCCTCGCTCGCTAAAGCGATGAAGACGGAGACATAAGCTGAATTATCTTCAGGATTTTTGCCATCTGGGTAGAAGTAAATCGCCCATTGATACCCTCCAACGCTGAAATTATCGCTCGCAATGTGTTTCCCAACTCCCATACCTTTCGCCAATGAATAGCCTTGGATCACGAACTTGTGAGACCCATTTACGGTTTCCGTCACCACTCGCGAGCTCGTCGGAGAAATCACCGCCGTTGAAGCTTCCGACATGGCTGAAGAATCTAAATGAGGAAAGAAAGTTGACGCTAATTCGCGAAATTCATGGAGAATTTGGGGATTAATTTGGGAGTTTTGAGGAGAGAGAGAAGATGAAGTTAGGGTTTACTTTGGGGACAAATTGGAAGACGAATAGTCAGATTGATTTGATGATTTTTCTGGAAAATATGAGGGACTTAACTTGTTTTTTCGAATTCACGAGTCATGAGTCTCATGACCGCGTTCTATCGTTCCAAGACTTTGAACTAATCTTTTAGGGATTTGTTAAACATCGCCCACAAATTACTACATAAAGCCCACAAAATTCACTTGGTTTCCCAAAATTGTTCTTGACCTTAAAAAAAACACTTACACTCTCATCACTCACACTCTCATCACTCACACTCTCATTGCTCATCTTCTTTCAACCTCTCTAAAAAAAAAAATTCAAAATAACGGCAATGTCGAGGCGGCAAGGCAAGGAAGTGGCGGCGGCGGCGGAGGGAAGGATGTCCCAAGGAGGAAAGGTATATTTTGTTTAAAAAAAAAAAAAGGGGGGGGAAACCGCCGTGAACGCGGTGGGGCGCCCTGGCTGGACGCCCAGGCAGCGGTGGTGGCGCCAGATGCAGACGCCGCCACCAGTTGGCTGGCGCCTGGGCTGGACGCCACAGCCACGGTTGTGGCGTTTATTCTAGGCGCCGCAGCCGTGGCTGTGGCGTCCAGCCCAGGCGCCAGCCAACTGGTAGCGGCGTCTGCATCTGGCGCCACCACCGCCGGCTGGGCGTCCAGCCAAGGCGCCCCCCCCCCCAATTATTTTTTTTTTTTTTATTTTTTTTTTAATTTTTTTAAAAAATTGTTTTTAATTTTTCTTTTTTTTTTTTTAATATAATTTTAAATTGTTTTTATATTTTGTTGTTTATTTTTATAAATTTTTTCAATTTCGTTGTATTTTTTCTACGTTTATATTTTGTTTACAATTATTTGTATGTTTTTAGTTTATTTGATTTGCGATGATGATTATTTATCGTATAAATTTTTGTATGTTTATATATTTTAAAATTTTGTGTAGGGTCGTCATGGTGGGGGAAGAATATAGAACTTCTTAGTAGAAGTTATTCAGTGGAGAGGTCGGGGCATAGACATGTCAGATCCCGTGGTATTTCGCCCTCAGTTCGTAGAGAACGGATCCACCGTCGGGATGAGGATGACGATGACGATGATGATGCTGAGGAGGGTGACCAGGAGGAGGAGCAGGAGGAGGGCGCAGATGAGGATGAGGATGTGGACGATGGCAGTGGACCGTATGATGATTACGGTCCATTCAGTCAGAGGGTTGATGACATGTACGAGACGCATATGGTGGAGGTGCGTAAGGGTAGGGGTGGTAGGTTTGTTAGTAGATCTGGCACATCATCTGCGTCCACTGTATCTGGCCCGCTTATGGACAGCGGAGTTGCAGCGGCCGCCGTCTGGGGTTACTCCCATGTGTGACCATTACTACATGGAATGGTTCAACCGGTATTCGCACCCGAGGTTGATCGCTGATCTCGACCACAGCGATGATGATTATGTGCCACCGCCTACTGCCACGGAAGCGGTATGTCTTTTATTATATTTATCGTTGTCTTTTAATTAAGTTTTATTTGTTGTTATTGTATTTCATCTTCTGTTTTTTGTTGTATGCAGTGGATGGGAAAGATAATGCAAGACGTTCAGAAACTCTCTCTTGAGAAGGACAGCATGAGTGCAACAGGGAGAGCTGTTGTTGATAGTCTGGAACAGACCCTTGCACAGTGGTAGTCGTCGTCGAGGAGGGATTACTGATGGTTATTGTATTTTATTTATAGAGCATTATGTTGGACATTATGTTGTAAAATTGTAACATTTTAGATTGTTCTTTTAGCTTCCAACTTAAACATATTATCAGTGCTGTTTTTAAATTTTGATATAACCGTTCGTGGATCCGCGCAACTTACCCATGCAACATATAGAATGCAGTAAGCAATACAATATAAAATATTAATGTTCTCATTAAAAGAGCAACGTACAAATAAGATTACAAATAAAGAATGTAAACATGAAAAACTAAAATGCAGCTAGGGTGTTCCATTCGTGGATCCGGTCATTATATAGCGCATCCCAACCCTCTACGCTCGCTGTGCGAATGTTGTACCACCGAGGTATAATCGGTGGCACCGGAAAATCGGTTGACATGTCTAGTCGGATGAAATGTCTGTATGACGACCCAAGAAACGCAATAGCTAGCTCTCTGACCGGTGTGGTGACAGTCTCACGCGACCGCCAAGGGAGAACCGTGGTACAAGGATAATAAGCTTGACTATGCACTCCCAGGCCGAAATGCATGACTGCGCATTTGTAAATGTTTGCAACGGCAAACAGATCTAGGGGCGCGTCAAAATAATGATTTTCGCCGCAAGGTCCACCTCCCCACCGGATACGCCGGAGAGCGCCATCCAAGTCATCCTGGTACACATGACGATAAACATTTCGGTTAGAGGCAATTTCGCTGTACATCAACTCACGCACCAAACCGTAGTTGTCTTCGCCCATTTGAAAAACATCAGTCACGACTAGATGACGATGTCCGACCACGAGAACGACCACGACCAAGACCACGGATATACTCAAACGCACTCCTGTTCCGCCGTTGTCAACCTCGAGGACAGTCAACTCCTTCGGGTTCCTCATAATCTAAGTTAGACGGGTGGAACATGTCATGAAGCACATGAGTAGCGTCACGAATAATAGAAGGATGGCTGGAGGACACTCGGTCGTACATCGAACGGAACTGCTCCAACTCTTCCTGTTCACGGTCGGCCGTTTGATTGTCTGCATGCTCACCAATAACAAGCGTCCTCCAGAATGAATGGACCTGATCAACATGTAACGACGCCCTTTCTTCTGTAATAACGCGATGAATGGTGCATGCGCAAGGTAATCCATGAGTTACTGAAATAGTACACCCACACCGAGTATACACTTCGTCAGCCAAGTCCCTCACCCTGTTCAGCTCAGTGAGAATCAACCCCAAGCAGTAGTGCGACACACGACCATGGAGAATCTTAAATATAAAATGGCTATACATCGTACCATGTCGTCGTCTGGAGTCCTCTAGAGAGTTCCTGATGTCGTTCTTCTGAGTTTCAATTGACTTGTTCAGTCTAGCGAACAGTGTATCCAAAGCAGCGGTCGATGAATCAATCCAGTCCTTGGTAGCTCTATGAGCGCTCTCAACTCTACATGTTGTAGTGTTCCCAAAATGAAGTACCTGGTTTGTCCAATATTTGACAAACTTTTCCCTGTGAGGGACCCATTGATGCATCACATAGTCCACCAGTGCCGGACACCACTGGTACGAATCCCTGAAGTTAGCCAATGCTCGCTCATACGCTTCCTCTGTGGTAGCCTGTAGGATCTTCCGCCACTTACCATTCACCAATCTCTCTGCCATTTCCAAATTCTTCTTGAAAAGGTTGTAGGCTTTCACTTTCACGCAGTTGTTGATGTGCCATGTGCACAATAAGTGGTTCGATTCGGGAAACAGCTCTGCTATGGGGGCAAAGAGACCTCCCTCACAGTCGCTGACGATGGCTGCTGGATGAACATTAGGCCCGATGTAGTTTCTCAGCTTCTCCAAAACCCAATAATAACTTGGAGCCGTCTCATCCCTGATGATTGCATGACCAATCAGAAAGTTCTGGTTCGTTGGAGCCATCCCAACCATCTCAACCAGAGGGAACTTGTACTTGTTTGTCTTGTACGTTGAGTCGATCAAAATCACAAATGGCCAAGACTTGATCATATCAGCACAATCAGGATGCACAAGGAAAAGATGAGTCACCTCCGCTGTATCTTCATCAGAATCAAACCAGAACAGGTAACCACGTGATTGTGCCTGGTGTAGCAGCTGCTGTATAGGGTTCCTTCCCTCTGACCGTTCAAACCTGAGCTGCTGTCTGACGTTGTAGATGTGTCTTCGGTTTGGATGGTCTTCTGGAAATTTCTCTAACACAGATGCTAATATTTTAGCAGGCTTCACTTGAGCATCACTCATTTCTTTCACAACTAGTTTCGCAGCAGGACTTAAGCCGCTCAGTTGTCGATGACCCTCTTCATATACTATCATCTCATGGTTGTGATACCCCCATTTAGAGTAACCTATCACTTCCCAACCGTCACGACTCCGTAGTTGTCGAACCTTTACTCTGAACTCACACCCACAACCTTTCCGCTTTGTGTCAAACCGAGTGGCTGTACGAAAATCTCTTTCTTCTCTTTTGCGATAACGGTCACATCTCAAAATGCGATCCATTCTACCATCCCATTGAGATTTATGAGTTGCTACTACCAAGCAAAATCCAGCTGCAATTGCAACCTGTTTTGCCCAATCAATCGCCTGTTGAGCTTCTTCGAATGGACCATCATGTCCAAATATCCCACTGTAATCATTTCCGTCTCCACCATATTCCTGCATCAATTATATATTACAATAAATACATTTAACGGATAATACATTTAATTTCTATATTTCCACATAATTAACACAAAAAAAAACATAATTATATATAATCAAACTTAATTTTTATAAAAACCCAATTCGAATTTTCAAACTAAATTTAAAAATATACCATTTCGAATTTCAAATTTAATTTTAAAAAAAACCTATTTCGAATTTTCAAATTTAATTTACAAAAAACCCATTTCGAATTTTTTTAAAAAATCATTTTCGATTTTTTTTTTCACAAAAAAATTAAATAAAAAACAACAACAAAATCAAAAAGGAAAAAATAAAAAATAATTATTAAAGGTGGCGTCTGCCAGGGCTGCCACAGCCACTAGACTGGCGCCTGGCAGGGCCGCCTCACCCAGTGGAGTGGCGTCTGCCCAGGACGCCAGTCTGGTGGTCTGGGCGTCTGGGCTGGACGCCACTCTGGTGGTCTGGGCGTCTAGCCTGGACGCCACTCTGGTGGTTCTGGCGTCCGGCTTGGACGTCCAGGCTACGGTTTGGGCGTCCACCCTAGGCGCCAGAGCCACTCCGACGGTAAACCGTGAATTTTAACGGTGACTTACCTCGTTTTCCGTCGACGACGACGTACCTCCGGCGTCCCCCGCATCTCCGGCCTGCCATCCGGTCTCCCCCGGCGAGCCAGTACGGCTCCACATTTTTTACACCGAGATTATTTCAATTTTAGCAAAAGGGCATAATGGTCAAATCATAACATATTTGTGGGCTTTATATGGTAAATTGCGGGCGATGTTTAGCGTTTCACATCTTTTATCGTAGGGATTCTCCTCCTTAGATTAGGACTTTACACTTTTTTGGACCTTGTGGTGTATTAGGATTTGAATTCCTGAATGTTTAGGGACTTTGAATTAGAATTGATTCTATCATTACGCTTTTTTGTAGGATTTGAAGTTCATGGGACAATTAACACATATCGGAAGTTTACCCATGTCCAAATTGGTCTATATAAACTAGAAATGAGTTCCGGAGCGAGAGTACTAAAATAACGTTCCCTTTAGAGGGGAATCACTATCCTAGCCCTAGTGCGGCCTCTACTAGCTCTTACGTAATACCTAAAACTAAGTTAGTTGATTTTATTTACAAGCATCAATCACGTAGGAATTACATTACAAAGTCGTTATTTTTTATTTAATTCAAATTTGTGAAAAGGAGCAAAAATAAACAAGATTCGTCTTGGCTTAAGTGACCAATATATCAATTAATTATTCAATTCTAATCTTTATTTAACGCAAGATACTATGTGGAATTGATTAATTAAGAAATTCTTGTAGCTGATCAAACAACACTAATTGATTAATTAAAGTTCCTTTAAACAAGAAAATCAAAGTGATCTATCTAAGTGCTCGGGATTTTACCACTTCTCTTTGCTAGATCTTTGTTTAGAACACTTGTGAACTTCTTAAGGGGTGAGTGTTTAGGACAAGAGGGGCCTGGTAGCACAAGTTCACAAGATTTCTGCGAGGATTTTAGGTTAATTTTTGTGTGTTTTAAGCCTCGGATTAAGCCTCTATTTATAGGGAATGAGTAAGATTAGGGTTTTGAACATTCTGCCGCAGCAGGTGTCGCGCGCATCTAAGCTAAACTCAAAGCGAACCGACCCGACCTGAACTCAACATGATCCGAAATCGACCCGACAAATAACCGATCTAATCCGATTTGTTTTGACCCGAACTGATATTAACCCGACCCGATTTTTACTCGATTTGACTTTTACCCAATCCAAATTTAACCCGACCATAATTAATTATTGACATTTTTATTCAAGTTCTTATACTACAATACTTCCTTTGTTCTTTTTTACTTGATCTGTTTCTTTTATCACGCTTGCCAATGCAAAACTTTATCGATCAATAACTTAAATTCTTTGTAAGTAAAAATTATAAAAGTTGTATATTACGATAGTAATTATTGAGACGAATTAAAAAAGATATCATATGAATATATTTTTCGTTACATATCATTCATAAAAGACGGTCAAAGAAGAGATGATGAATAGTGTAAAAAAACATTAAAAGTCAAAGTGAGTCAAGTAATACGGAGAATTTAACTCTTTTGGGTTTGCAAAGGTAACCATAGTTAGAGAAGGGGATTTAACTCTTTGTTAATTCATCCAATTACTTTCTCTGTCCAACTCCGACAGCAAGCTGTTAACGTAGAGTAAGATTGAAGCACTATGACCACCGTCGTTCCCAAAGTTGCCGTCATTGGCAGTGGCAGTAAGTTCCGTCGTTTCACCCTAATTTTTTTATGAAATCAATCTCTGATATCTGCAATTATCAGTAATTATACCATTTTCCTGATTACAATTTCCAATTGTGGGTGATTAATAGTTTCAGGAGCAGTATGTGCTTCAACTCTTGCTAGAAATGGAATGGCAGTTACTATTTTCGATTTCGGTAGAGGTCCTGGCGGCCGTATGTCTCAAAGGAGGTACTATATTATAGGTTTTCATATATGCGTGTTGAATTACAATCAATTAAATAATAGTTACTCGTACATCGGATCGGATTAGTTTACTTTAGTTGTTCGTCACTTAATCACATGTCTTCTTCTTTTGAATGACTTTACATTGGATTTATTTGAATATTTGATACTTGATCACATGTTGGTCCATAAAAAAAAGTCGTAGGAATTGTTGTTAGTGGCCTATCTCAACCAAAAGGTTAAGCTGATGGTTGAAGCGCACGCCCCATCACAGGGGATGAGCGTGGGCCTTCGTCATACCTTGCACTTAATATTCCACTTGAAAGTGGAGGGTGGATGAGATTCAAACCGTGACCTTTGTTTTCAGCTGGTATATGTTGTGTCATAGTAGATATAAACTTTTATGCATAGATACAACCTCTATTATGGTTCTCCTTTGATTTATTTTGTGCTATTGGTTTTAAAGCTAATTTCCTTTTTTTGTTTTTTTCCGTAAATTCTATATTCTTTAAGTTCAATTGTTAATTTATTGATATTTTCTACCAATCTTAATATGTGATATCATAGGGAAACTACCAAGGAGGGGATGGACTTGTTCTTTGACCACGGTGCTCCTTACTTTACTGTTTCAAAATCTGTTGTTTTGGATGTTGTCCTGGAGTGGGAGTCAAGAGGTCTAGTTGCAGAGTGGAAAGAAACATTTGGATCTTTTGATTGCATCTCCAAGAGATTTACTGATTCTGGGGAGGTTAGTTTCTACGTTGCAATTTCCTATGTAGATTATAGTGTCATATTCTGTCATTTGATGATGAATAGTATAGAATGATTTGTTTTGAATTGTTGATGCAAGTCCCATAGTCTCTTCCCTCACCCCCCCCCCCTCTTTTTTTGCATGCATATACTCGCACACTCTTATAGTGTGGTTGTTTATAGAAAAAGGAAAGAAAAGAAGGGGAGTGAGGAGAAGAGGAAGGGAGGGAAGGGAAGAATGGTGAGTTTTCCTTCCAAATCTCTCCATTGTTGGAGGGATCAATTTCCTACAATTTAATCTCTCTATTCCTCCCCCCCCCCCCCCACACACCACCCAATTCGCTTTCTTCCTCATTTGTTATCCAAATGAAAGAAATTCAATCTCTCCATTTCCCTTCCCTTCCTTTCTCTCCATTTCCTTCAATCCAAACACACCGTTACTGTCATTAAGAAGGTAAAGTTGGGCTCCAGTTCCTTTGTGATTTTAGAGAGAATTCCCGAGTGCACCTAGTACACCACTCTTTTGCAATTTACTTAGCAATTTATCGATGACATTGAGGCATTCATGCAAAATTGCAAAAGAGTGGTGTACTAGGTGCACTCAGGAATTCTCTCTAAAATCACAAACTCACAACTTCTATGGTATGATAAAATTAGACTATGAGAAATTTTAGGAGGAAATTGGTATATAAAGAGCTGAGACTGGATAAATTCTTAAGGCACATGATAAACGTCTTCCTTATGTTACTCCAACACATATTTGGTTTTGGAGGATCCAACACAGTGACACACTACTTCAAAACTTTGGCCGACACTTCAACACAATCAAAAGAGTGTCTTGACCAATTTTTTGGCTACCATATGAAGTGTTCGTAAATTTACTTCCGACATTTTATAATTTTAATAGGTGATGAATGGAAGGTGGTGCATGATGGAGGTTGATAGGAATGTGTTAAGGAAGGTTGAAGGAATCGTAAATAAGGGGGAAAATGGAAGTAATGAGCCCCATTAACGGATTCTATGACGGAATACGTTAAGTGGTGGTGAAATCCAAATTTTATATTTTTTTAATTCTATGTCGTGTTAATTTAATTTTTTTTAATGGTGTTAAAAACAAATTTGGTCTTTTTTAATTTAATTATTTATTTGTTTATCCGTCTTTCAAAAAACACTCCCTTGTGATTTGATCAACTAGCATTCACACCAATGCTGTTATAGGAAACTTTCTTGGGTCCATTCCTTGGATCCTTTAGCTTTATGCATTATGCTAGGCAAGCTCACACAATTTTTCATGGCTGAAGATTCGTGGCCCATACTGTGTCTCTACTTTTGATTCATCTCCCGGATTAGTGTCCCTTGTTTGAAAGATTCGATTAAATCTGATAACGACATGCTAGGATGGAGCAGAAACATAACAGAACATTAAACTTTTAACCAGTTAATTTTAGTGAAACCAACTAAAATTTTGTGTCTTTCAACTCATCAACTTTAATGTTAAGAGCAAGCTGTTTCTCTTGAACAATCTTTAAATTGATGTGCATTAACGGAGGTTCATGACCATCACATGAAAGTTACTGCTGTTAGAGGATGTAATTTCATGCTAGGGGTTGCTATATACTAGGATGAAAGCCTTCAAATCAAACCCTTGTTTTATTTTTATTTTTATTTTTATTTTTATTTTTATTTAAACATGTTTTAATCAACTTTTAACCTTACTTTCACACCAACACTGTATAGGTACACTTTGATCAAAATATTGAATTTTAGGAAGTTTTTTTGGCCATTAAGCAGTGTTACGCAGCTCAGAAATTAATATTGTGGCAACTTTTTTAATTTACATAAAAATATGTCATAATTCATGGTTGTAGGAAATGGGTAACACACTGTATTTTAAAAAATGCCAATGAATCATCTTTATATCACTTGTATGTTACTTTGATGGTGTCTGTGCTGAGGAGTAAATAAGAGAATCCTCAAACAAATACATCCTTAAAAAATTTAAATCAATTCAGGAAGATAAATTATCATTGAACATTAAAATACCAAAAATTGGGCTATACTTGTAAGTAGAACTTAAAAGTAGAACTTAAATGCAATGTTTCAGATAGTAGAAACCTGAATAGCTTTATACACAGCCCTATTTTCCAATTTGTTGAAGCTAGAAGTTACTTTCAAGCTACCTCTGATTTTTTCCAGTGATGCTAAGGTGCTGTGATTGGAACAAGAACATAGAGATCAAGAGACTTAGGGCCTTGGAAGGATGCAGGTTTCATGTATCTTTTTTTTTTTCCAGAGGATGCTGGTTACATATATTTCGGGGCATGGTGGAAACTTCTTATATCTTATAATAAGATTTGCCTTTTTCTTACATTCTTAATCTTTTATGTGTACTTCAATCACCTTTTTTTTTTTTTTTTTTTTTATAACCGAAATATGCCAGTGATTTATAAATGCTCTGTACAAACTATTCAGGAATCACTGGGCAAGAAATATATAGGCATTCCAGGCATGAATTCAATATGCAGAGCATTATGCAATGAGCCTGGTATTGGGTTTTATTTATATAATTTAATTATGGATTATATATTGACTATATTGTTTTTCTTTTCTCATTCTCAAACTCAACCTCTTTATATAGGCATTGAAAGCAAATTTGGCATTGGTGTGGCGAAGATAGAATGGCTAATGAATCAGAAATTATGGTCATTAACCAGCGTAGATGGAATGTTTCTTGGTCATTTTGGTGGTTTGGTTGCCACAGACAAGCTTCTTGCTTCTTCTGGGTTCAGTAACTTAACTGGACATCCTCCACCTCTTGGTATATTGGCTTTATCCTATTAATTTTGATATTACTTCTAGCATACTTATATGAAATAGGTGGTGTTGTTTTATTTGTATGAAACACTAAAGTGGAGAAAGCAATGAAGAAGATAAATAAAACACACAAGAATTTATGTGGTTTGGTCAACGCCACAATACCACCTAGTCCAGGGGAGTTTGGAGCTTTTCTTCACTCTAATGGACAAAGCAAGAGGAATATACAAGGAGTCTTTCTAATGGTTTAATTAACCAAAGTCTCCATTGTTTCAATTTATAACATAAGGAACCCCTAAAAGCTCTTTAATTACTCCCCAGGAAAAACACTAACATGTGTCATTAACAAACCATAAATATGGCTACTAATTATTAAAAAAAAAACGTTAAGCAATGCAAAGAAAATATGTGTAACGAATCTCGAGATGCCAGGCCACATGTGTGGAGGAGCAGTATGAACCATGTGCGGACGCGACACTGTGTCCTCCACACATGGAAGTGGCATGGTCTTCTTGCGAACGTTCCAAAGCATAAGAAACTTTTGATAGAGACAAGCAATGGAGGCACATAAGTTATTGCTTGTCACGTGGATGCGCTCCTTTGGCTTTCGCGGCCACGCAAAGTTCTGTTTCCCATTGTCGAAAAGACGTTTCGTGACAGTCACACTGGCGAGCGTGGACGTGCTCTCCTTCCAGTGGATTCGAGACACACATAGCATATATATTCGGTTCTGTATGATAAAATAAGCTCGTCAAGGTCAATAAAAAACTATCTCTGTTATACTGGGATAAGGCAGTTAGTGTGCATTTAAAAGAGCCCTTTTTAACGTCAAGGTCTGCAGTCTATATAAAAATATATTTTAATAATGATGTTTATATCTTTGGCTATTGCTCGTCACATGGAATGTTGTTAATAAGGTGAACTAGTAGTAGTGGACTGGCCTTGCACTGCTCGCTCAAGCCATCAAAATATCTAGTGGGTATCGCTTTTAGACCAATTATGTTCCTTTTCCTTGCATGTTCATTATTTTTGAGCTTTACATTTTGGTAATTTATTCATTGAATACAACCTAAATGCTGTATCTTTTGGTTTATAGATATATGTTTCAAGGTTAATAATTATAATTTGTTTTTTTACATGTCTGTAGGAAAATCCGTTTTATCTTTTTGTAACAATGACTTTCACGGGTTTTGTCATTGAATAATTTTGAATCGAAGCATTAGTCTCTAGCCCTTAATGAACATTCATGAAAATATTTCTGTTAAATAAGCATGATTAATGCAATGTATAAGTTCTTCCTCTTCCATGGTTGATGAATTCAAGAATGTAGTTGGATTGCTCTTTTCTTTTACAGATAAGAATTTGGCTGATATGTTTATTGATATCTTGTGTGTTGTCGATTCATCATGCTTAAATTGTAGGACTTTTCAAAATTCTATTTATTTTATAAAAAATTGTTTTAATGAACATGGCTTTATATAAGGGCTATATAGGCCTTTTTTACTTTCTATTATTCTAAGATACATGTTGTAGCTCTAGTAGCTTCTTGTCTGTTGTCTGTTTGTAAAGTAACAAGAGTTCTTTGTCTTCTGAAAAAGATTTGTCATTGTTTATGTTTTTATAAGGAACTGGATTTAGTAATAATTAGAGATATCAGCATATTGCAACCAGATGCAACAGAATGGAGTAATTTATGATTGGCTGTGTTGGCTAGCAGATCCAAACTAGATTTTGGCTTAATTTCTACACACGTTTTCTTGGCAAGCTGAAAATTGTGAAATTGCTGCAAATCAGCAGTAGGTCCACCGTCTACACATGGCATCTGTGAATGTAACATGTTGGTCTCGCTTGTTAAATTAGTCCAATATTTGTTTAAGCAAAAGCATAGTGCAGGACTACATTTTAACAGTTTCTGTTTGAACGGTATTTTGGTGTAAGGACTTCCTAACGTCGGGATAAAAAGGGGGGGGGGGGGTTGAGGAGATATGGCTATGTGTTTGTTGAGAGGAACCAATATTGTTGGTTCTAGTGTTTCATTTGAAGAAAAAGAGAATAAGTCGAAAACACTTAGCGATTGCCTCTTATTTACTTTTGTTGCAGAAGAAAAGGAGGGTCATTATTCAATAGAGATTAGACAACTTTTATTAATGGTTTCTTTTGGTGAAATCATTTTCGATTCTTCTCTAAATATGGCTGGGTATGGGATTATATTTGGATATGTGATTAATAGATTATTATTTGGAGAATGAGGGTAGGAAATAACTTTATCATCGTGAGAATTCTTTCACTTCTAAAAGCAGGATATCCCTAAATGCTGGAGAGATGGTTGTAATATGATGGCTTTTAGGTGACATAGGAATATGAATAATCTCTTGGTCAAACCAAAGTATAGGGATAAGAGCTTGCCATTCTTGGATTCATTCCTCTGCAAGAAGCCTTAGTTTCCCGTGATAGACCAAGGGTGGCAGCCACCACTTAAGGTGTATGCTTGAAGAAAAGGGAGAAAAGAAGCACAAGTCCAACAAGGCCAAAAGGAAGGGGACCAAGTGACCAACAAACAAGAGTCACAGGAGGCAGGGGTAGCAAGAGAGAAGTGGACAAATTTATTTAACACTCCACTATGAAGGGGTGCACCATGAAGCCTGCAATTTGATTCTCTTGACAGTAGGACAAACTCCAATTAATGTTAGGTTTATTTGTGATTGATTGAGTATAAATAGATTAGTAGTATGATAGTAGATGTTATGTGATTTAAATGTTATTTTGCGAGCAAGAGTTGTAGCCTAAAGCTGATGTGAGAGAATAATAGCCTAAAGCTAATAGCCTTTGTAAGATATGCTATTAGTAATTAAAAGACTCAAGCTTTCCACTATTTGTTCTTCTATTTCAATCAGAATTTCAATCTTGAATTGCTATGTCTATTATATTTCCTTTGTTGCTTATGTTGCGTTAGCCTCTTTATCTCTGTGATGAAGTTATTTTATGCACATTTTTTTGAACTGAAAGACATTTATGATTATGAATACCAGTAGAGAGGATGGGATATATGGGAGAGAACAATAGTAAAAACAATTTTGCCCCATTTATACTTCAAGTGGAGTGTTGGTGGCATCCTTGTCATTACGTCATTAATAGTTTTGGGTTCTCATTTTCTGTGCAGATATGAATCTGGCACCACAAATAGCATCAAAGATGGAACAAATACCCTTCAGATCTTATTTTGTTCTGATGCTCGCTTTCAGTGAGCCTTTACCCACTGTGAGTTTTCTAAATGTCTTGTACATGTCAATTGAAGTTGTGCTTGGTTGTTAAAGCTCTCAATTTGGCATTGTTCTTGTTATTGGCCCCATCATCTTGTGTTATTTTTTTGCCTGAAATTATATCACCATGTCTTACTTATAATTATTCTTTCCAGATTTGTGTGAAAGGGTTCTCTTTTAAAAACTCTGAAGTTTTGAGCTCTGCCTTTTGTGACAGCAGTAAGCCAGGCCGTTCTTCAGCTAGGTTTGTGTTCGTCAGATAATTCAACTTGTCTGTGTGATTCTCTCTCTATTAGCTTTCCTGATAGTCTTTTGGTTCCTTGATGCTAAGTGAATGTTGGGTTTTGCATTCCACTGAGGAATACGCTAAGAAAGTGATAGCCGACACTGGGCTTCAAAAGGCTTCTGCTGCAACATTTGCAAGAGTCGCTGAAGAACTTCTGCAGGAATTTCAAAGGACTGGACTATGCACTTCCCAGCCTTATTTCATGAAAGCTCATCGGTGGTAAGTGTCTGAGTGATCCCTTCTACTTCCACCGTTTTTATTATTATTATACCATATAGGTTGGATTACTATAAAACAATGACCTTCACTATAAAAATTCAATCTACAATATCAAATTGTTAATTTTGCTGGATTTTTTTTTTTTTTTTCGCTGAGCTTAATAGGTTTTGATTGTTTTCCTAAGATGTGAATCTATATCACTTTGAAGGCAATGCTTTAAGGTCAGCTTAAGGTACAGGACCTAGACAATTTTCTGAGATAAGAAGAACCATTTTAACAGTCAGAATTTTAACTTACGACACTGGACATTACCCTGCAACTCTTGTTATGACTCAGCGTCCTTGTGGAATTAATCCTTATAAAATTTGTATAAGTCAAGCTATGTCCATATTATTCATCTAATGCACACTAGCTAACTAATATTAATACTCTAGCTTCCTAGCTGCAAATATCGGAATCAGATTTTAACATACGAGAGAGAACCTCACTTGTGTTATTTATCTGATTAAGCTAAAGTGGATGAAGTGTGACTTTTTATTTGCCTAGTATACAACTTGTCTTGCTATATTGGTCAGTTTATTTTATCAAAATACGTAGTAAAAGAAAACCATGTAAACTACAGAATATACATGTACTACAAATCATTAAGTCAGAATAATTGAGAAAAATTCTGGTTTATCTCAGTTATACTACCTACCTACCTTCAAATGAGTGGAGTGGATGACTTTGTAGGCCTTACATGAACATACCTGCTCTTTGCCTTGTATTGCAATGAGAGTAAAATGTGGACTGCTAAAGCACTACTGAGAAAAAACACACCCAAAAAAATGTCCGATTCATCGCAGATCTGCTGCATAGAATTAAAACTTACAGCAATCAGTAGATGCACTTGACATTCCTTGGAACTTCTTATACCAACGTGGATCAAAGGATTTTTCTTAGTTTTCACTACAAATAGTTCAAGTCACTTTGCAGCTAAAATTCCCATAATTCCTTTCAACCTGATGATTCTCTGACTGAAAGATTGTTGTAACCCCTTCAATAATTTCCACAGGGGCAGTGCCTTTCCAGCTGCGAGCGTAGCCAGAGAAGAAAAGTGCTTGTGGGATACGAATAAGCCATTAGTTGTTTGTGGCGACTTCTGCATTAGTCCAAACGTCGAAGGTGCTATTGAGAGTGGCTTGGCTGCAGCTTCAAAGTTTATGACAATGCATAGCTGCATATAGTATTTCAAAAGTGATATCTGTAAATTATTATGCCAGTGTTTTCAATCAATAATTAGCCTTCAATTTTGGATTTTTTTTTTTTTTCGCCAGTAAATAAAAATTGACGAAATGTTTACCTTAATTCCTAATAACCTCCGGGTAGTCCGGGAGTCCCATTGGGTGGAGGGAACCATCCAATTCGCCTTTAAACGGCAAATTTATCGATTTACAACTTGCACCTATTTCATTAACTCAAGATTACCACGAACATTTATGACAACATATAATGATCATATATGGTTCCAAACGGTATTATATGAACCCGAAATTTATTCCCTAGAATTTCAAGACTTTTCAACATAGAGCCCCGAAACCTTCAAAACATTGCAAAATGTGCGGATTAGTCTTCAATTTTGAAATTTTTTGACTTTTTTTAACTCGGAAATAAAAATTGTCGAAATGTTTACCTTAATTCCTAATAACCTCCGGGTAGTCCGGGAGTCCCATTGGGTGGAGGGAACCATCCAATTCGCCTTTAAACGGCAAATTTATCGATTTACAACTTGCACCTATTTCATTAACTCAAGATTACCACGAACATTTATGACAACATATAATGATCATATATGGTTCCAAACGGCATTATATGAACCCGAAATTTATTCCCTAGAATTTCAAGACTTTTCAACATAGAGCCCCGAAACCTTCAAAACATTGCAAAATGTGCGATTAGTCTTCAATTTTGAAATTTTTTGACTTTTTTTAACTCGGAAATAAAAATTGTCGAAATGTTTACCGTGGTCCCTAATATCCTCCGGGATTCCAATTGGGGGTGGAACCATTCAATTTGCCTTTAAACGGCCAATTTACCGGTTTACAGCTTGCACCGATTTCATTAACTCAAGCCTACCACGAACATTTATAACAACATATAATGATTATATATGATTCCAAGTGGAATTATATGACCTCGAGATGTATCCCTTAAATTTTCAAAGCTTTTCAACACCGAGCCTCGAAATCTCAAAAATTTCTCAAAAATGTGGATCTCAGCTTTCAATTTTGGAATTTTTTGACTTTTTTTCGCCTGAAAATAAAAATTGCTGAAATGTTTACCATGGTCCCTAATACCCTCCGGGAGACCAACAGGCTGGGTGGAACCATCAAATTTTCCTTTAAACGACCAATTAACCGGTTTACCACTTGCACCGATTTTATTAATTCAAGCCTACAACAAACATTTATGACAACATATAATGGTCATATATGGTTCAAAACGACATTATATGACCCCGAGATGTATCCCCTAAAATCTCATTGCTTTTCGACATCAGGCCTGAAACCTCTAAAATTTCTCAAAAAGCGTGGATATTAGCCTTTAATTTTGGAATTTTTTGACGTTTTTTCCCTCCGAAAATAAAATATTGCCGAAATGTTTGCTATGATCCCTAATACCCTCCGGGAGTCTAATTGGATCGGTGGAACCATCCAATTTGCCTTTAAAATTATCGGTTTACAACCTTCACCGATTTCATTAAATCAAGCCTACCACGAACATTTATGACAACAAATAATGATCATATATTGTTCCAAATGACATTATATGACCCCGAAATGCATTCCCTAAAATGTTAGCACTTCGACACCGGGCCTTGAAACCTCCAAAATTTCTCAAAAAGCGTGGATATTAGACTTCAATTAAATTTTTACCATGGTCACTAATACCCTCCGGGAGTCCAATTTGGGGGTGAAACCATCCAATTTGCTTTTAAAAAGCCAATTTAGCGATTTACAACTTGCAGTGATTTCATTAACTCAAGCCTACCACGAATATTTTTGACAACATATAATGATCAGATATGGTTCCAAACTGCATTATATGACCCCGAGATCTATTCCCTAAAATCTCAAGTCTTTTCGACACCGTGCCCCGAAACCTCAAAATTTTCTCAAAAGCGTGGATATAGCCTTTATTTTTTGAATTTTTTTTTGTTTTTTTTCCACCCGAAAATTAAAGTTTCCGTAATTTTTACCATGGTCCCTAATACCCTCTGGGAGTCCAATTGGATAGGTGTATCCAACCAATTTGCCTTTAAACGACCATTATACCGGTTTACAACTTGCACCGATTTCATTAAATCAAGCCTACCACGAATATTTATGACAATAATAATGATCATAAATGGTTCCAAACGACATTATATGACCCCGAAATGTATCCCCTAAAATTTCAAGACTTTACGATACCGGGCCTCGAAACCTCCAAAGTTTATCAAAAAGCGTGGATCTTAGCCTTCAATTTTGGAAAATTTTGACTTTTTTTCACCCGAAAATAAAAATTGCCGAAATGTTTACCATGGTCCCTAATACTCTCCGGGAGTCCAATTGGGTGAGTGGAACCATCTAATTTGACTTTAAACAGCCAATTTACTGGTTTACAACTTGCACCGTTTTCATTAACTCAAGCCTACCACGAACATCTATGACAACATATAATTAGCATATATGGTTCCAAACGGCATTATATGACCCCAGATGTATTTCCTAAAATCTCAAGACTTTGTGATACTGGGCCCCGAAACCTCCAAAATTTCTCAAAAAACATGGACATTAAGACTTCAATTTTGGAAATTTTTGAGTACGAAAATAAAAATTGCCGAAATGCTTAGCATGGTCTCTAATACCCTTTAGTAGTTCAATTGGATGAGTGGAACCATTCAATTTGCCTTTAAACGTCCAATTTACCGGTTTACAACTTGCACCGATTTCATCAACCTAAGCCTACCACAAACATTTATGACAATAAATAATGATCATATATGGTTCCAAACGACATTGTTTGACCCCGAAATGTATTCCCTAGAATCTCAAGGCTTTTCGATATCGGGCCCCGAAACCTTCAAAATTTCTTAAAAAGCGTGGATATTTAACCTTTTATTTTGGAATTTTTAGACTTTTTTTCGGCCGGAAATAATAATTGTCGAAAATTTTACCATGGTCCCTAATGCCCTCTGGGAGTCCAATTGGGTGTGTGGAACCATCCAATTTGTTTCTAAACGGCCAATTTACCGGTTTAGAACTTGCACCAATTTACCGGTTTACAACGGCCAATTTAATTAACTTGCACCGAACCTGACTTGAACCGAAATTGACCCAAACCCGTTTTAACCCGTGAAAACTCGAATTTAACCCGACTTTTTACTAACCAGACCTAAATTCAACCCGACTTGTTATTGACCCGACTCTAATTTACCAGACCTCTTAATTACCCGACCCAAAAATTCAACCCGATTTGTTACTAACCCAACTCGAAATTAACACGACTTGTTATTGACCCGACTTAAATTCAAACCCAAATTGTTCCTGACCCAATTTGAAATCACCTTAAATGCAATTTAGACCACCTTATTATTGTTGGTCAAAGCATTTTGTCTACGGAGACCAAGTCGGTCTAGGCCAGCAAAAGAAAGGAGCATCATTCTCAAATTTAAGAGTTAAATATAGTATATATTTGTTGTATGGTCAAAGGAGATAATTATCTTCCTAAATTATAGACTATAGTTCCCTTGTATATTGCCATATATATTATAGTCAAAGGAAATAATTAGTTTGATAAAAATGATAATTATCTATTTATAGTTAGTTGAACCCGAATATAACCTGACTTGAAAATGATCTGACATGATTGTAACCTGCAAATTATTGACTTGAACATAACCCAACTTGAATCCGAGAATGACCCGACTCGGAAATGACCCAACCTGATTATAACCCGCAAATTATTGACTTGAACCGAACCCGACTTGAATCCAAGAATGACCCGACCTGATTATAATCCACAAATTATTGACTTGAACCGAACCTGACTAATGACCCGATCTGATTTTAACCCGCAAAATATTGACTTGAACCGAACCCGATTCGAACCCGAGAATTTCCCTAACCTGCTTTAACCTGAAATAAACTAAACCTATTGTTCACCCGAGCCGAATGTAACCCAATATGTTATTAACCCGACCTAAACCCGACGCAAACCCGATAAGAAGTATGACCCGACGTGACCCGACTCAAGCATGGCCCAGCCCAAACCCAACCCCCATGGGGTATGGAATTAATCCGAATTGACCTGACCCGAGTTGACCCAACCCACTCTTACCCGACCCAAATCCGACCCATTTACCCGAATTGACAGCTCTAACCCCAACTACACGATATAATATAGAGTACAATACATCAAATACTCCGTATACTTATACACCCGAATGGCCTAATATATAAATTCAATTTTGACGGTTCAGTACTCAAGAAGTCAACAACAACAGGGATTCTCGTCAGAGACAGTAGTGGGGCAGTTTTGGAGCTCGCGCTTTCAACCTTGGCACCACCAAGGTTTTCATAACAGCGGCCATGGCTCTTCATAAAGGAATTCTTCTAGTTCTTGAGTGTGGGATCAAAAATATCATAATTGAAGGTGATAATCTTTTAGTAATCAACTCTGTTAATGGCATCTGGTCAACACCATGGCAAATTGATCATATTATTAAAGACATTTGTTCACTTCTTAGCAATTTCGATAATTGGAGCATTCGTCACATCTTTCGAGTGGCAAATCAAGCAGCGGACTGAATAGTAAATGTTGATCATTTAGTTAGTGATAGTATGGATATAGTTCCTGGTAATAATTATTCTTTATTTCCCTTCCTCTCTTCCGACGTATTAGGAATTCCCCTCGTGAGGAGGGTTTCCCATTGTTTACTTTTTTTCTTACCATCGTAAAAAAAAAAAAAAAAAAAAAAAAAAAAAAAAAGTAGGGCCTGGAATTGGGACATCCAAAATACTACGTATCAGCCTCTCTCTCACTAAAAACAAAACAGAAGAAGAGAAGACTAGTTTGGGGAGAAGAAGTGAAGATGATAACCGTTGAAGAAGCACTGAAAATCGTACTTGGAGTTGCTCAACGTCTTCAACCAGTGACGGTCCCACTTCACCAAGCTCTCGGTAAAACCTTGGCCCAAGACATTCAAGCTCCTGATCCTCTTCCTCCTTACCCTGCCTCCATTAAGGTATTTTTCATCTCATTAATTTCTTTTTATTTTTTTATTTTGATTTGATTTCGTTTTTTAGCAGTACCCGTTTGTAATTTAATTGATTTTAGTTTTAGGGTTTTGCTAATTTTTTAATGGGTTGCTTGATTATCATCAAGTTTGTGTAATTATTGACCAAGTTCAATTAA